TCATAAGACTCTCATTGCGGACAGAGTCCTGTCCCACACCCTAGAGAAAGGAATGTTCCATGGAGAGGCCGACAAAGACCTGAACAGCTGAGCCTTGCTGGGTTTTCCTACTCAGTCTGTTAGTATTAGATCATTCCCCTTGTATCCAATTGCATTTCTACACAGTTGTCCTCAATCACGCCTATTCAATAATGTCTCCATAAAAGGCTCAAGAGGACTGGGTTCTGAGAGCTTCCAGATCGCTGAGCACGTGGTGGTTCCTGAAGGGTGGCGCCCCTGGGGAGGGCATGGAAGCTCCACGTCCCTTCCCACATGCCTCGCCCTATGCAGCTCTTCATCTGTATCCTTTGCAATATCCTTTACAGTAAACCAGCGAACGTAAGTGTTTCCATGAGTTTTGTGAGTCATTCTAACAAATCAGTTAAACCCACGGAGGGGGTGTGGGAACCCCAATTTATAACTGGTCGGCCAGAAGCACAGGTTACAGCCTGGGGCTTCTGATTGACATCAGAAGTGGGACAGGCATGGGGACTGAGGCCTCAACCTGTGGAATCTGACGCTGTCTCCAGGTACAGAGTGTCAGAACTGAGTTGAACTGGAGGACACCCAGGTGGTGTCCATGCAGAACGACTTGCGTGTGGGGAATCCCCCTCCACATTTGCTCACAGAAGACTTCTGTGTTGATTGTTCTTGAGTGAGGCACTCGGAAAAGCACTAGGAACGAGTGTGTTTTTTCTGCCCAGAGCCTGTTTACGAATCACCTGAGTGTGCAGTGACTTTATGCTCATGGCTTATAAATCCCATCCACCAATCACTGATAGGCTGGTCATTTAAATCACGGGACTGAATGCAGCCTGCAGGAGGATGTCCCCATCTGTGTTCCCCTCCCACATCCCAAGTAGCTGTCAGTGTCAGAAGTGGTACAAGGTGAGAGGGGGAAGGAGGAGGAGGAAAGGAGTAAAAATGAGGTGCTTCAGAATTTCCCCAACATAACCAGAGGGTGGTTTGGTAGCAGGGGAAATTTGGGTATCTGGAATCAGACTCCTTTATCTGGGCATGGTGGCACAAGTATGTAGTCCCAGCTACTTGGGAGGCTGAGGTGGGAGGATTGCTTGAGCCTGGGAAATGGAGGCTGCAGTGGCTGTGATCGCACCACTGCACTCCAGCCTGGAAGACAGAGTGAGACCCTGGTTCAACAACAACAAAACCAGAACTAGACTCTTGAGTGTTTATGTAAAACGAATGCAGATCATGAATATTTTCATAATACATTTACTGGGTCACTGAAGAATTAAGGCATATATTAACTACAGAGCATGATCTAACAGAACAATCACAGCTCCATGTGCCCCTCCCTTACCTTCCCCTCCTTCCCTCCCTTCCTCCCTCCCTCCCTCTCTCTCTTCCTTGACAAACTCTTGCTCTGTTGCCCCAGCTGGAGTGCAGTGGCGTCATCTCGGCCCACTGTAATCTCTATCTCCCAGGTTCAGGCAATTCTGCCTCAGCTTCCCAAGTAGCTGGGATTATCATCACGTGCCACCACACCTGGCTAATTTTTTTTGTATTTTCCGTAGAGACGGGGTATCACCATGTTGGCCAGGTTGGTTTCCAACTCCTGACCTCAAGTGATTCGCCTGCCTCGGCCTCCCAAAGTGCCAGGATTACATGTGTGAGCCACCATGCCCGGCCTGTATCATTATTTCTGCTTTGTGAATGCCTCACAGATTCCTCCCATACTGGAATTAAGTAAACTCCTTAATCTCAGAAGGGCTGTGCAAGTCAATGAGTCACTTGCAGATTCTCATCTGGAAATGATCCGGTGTCTTAGAACTTTCACCACTGGCCGGGAGCAGTGGCTCACGCTTGTAATCTCAGCACTTTGGGAGGCTGAGGCGTGTGGATCACCTGAGGTTAGGAGTTCGAGACCAGCTTGACCAACATGGTGAAACTCCGTCTCTACTAAAAATACAAAAAATTAACCAGGCATGGTGGCACATGTCTGTAATCCCAGCTACTCAGGAGGCTGAGACAGGAGAATTGCTTGAGCCCAGGAGTCGGAGGTTGCAGTGAGCCAAGCTCGTGCCGCTGCACTCCAGCCTCAGAAACAGGGCGAGACTCTGTCTCGAGAAAGAAAAAGGAAATCCATGGGTGCTGCGCGGCTTCCTGGCCGACTTGTTTCTGGGCGAGAGCGAACAGTGGGGAGTGAGCAGCACGAGAGGGCGGACCACAGCCCGCACCGCCTAACGACGCGTCTTCATACTAGGGCTCCCTTTTTATTTTATCTCCATTGCCCATTGCCCTAAGAAGGTAACTTTGGTTAGGGTCTTTTGTTTGTTTGTTTGTTTTTAGACGGAGTTTTGCTCTTGTTGCGCAGGCTGGAGTGCAATGGCGCGATCTTAGCTCACCGTAACCTCCGCCTCCCAGGTTCAAGCGATTCTCCTGCTTCAGCCTCCCAAGTAGCTGGGATTACAGGCACGCACCATCACACCCGGCTAATTTTGTATTTTTAGTAGAAACGGGGGTTTCACCATGTTGGTCAGGCTGGTCTCGAACTCGCAACTTCAGGTGATCTGCCTGCCTCGGCCTCCCAAAATGCTGGGATTCCAGGCATGAGCCACTGCGCCCGGCCTTGTTATGGTCTTTTAACCGACCCTGCAATCCCTGCTCCATAATGCCACCCTGCCAAGCTTCCTGAGCTGCTGTCTTTACTGTTAGATGCTGGGGAAGGCAGAATAGTGCCCCCCAGATAGCCAGGTCCAACTCCCCAGGACCTGTGAATATGTTACCTTTCATGGCAAAAGGGAATCAGGATTGTAGATGGAATTGATGTTGCTGTGGAATAACAAGAAAGATGTTTGGTGGCTGTCCCTGGTTTCTGACACAAAGCTCTAAACCCTTGGAATTTTGAGAGATAGAGTATTAAAAGCCTCTTTTGTTTTAATGAGGCAACTCTTGTACTTAGCTTCAGGGTGGGAGCTGGCTGCCAGAAAGACCAGGCTTGATTAGAAGATCAGCATTTCCTGCACCCTTCCCCCACCCTCCAGGGAAGGGAGAGTGGCTGGAAATTGAGTTGATCACCAGTGGCCACAGTCAAACCTATGGACTGAAGCCTCCATAGAAACCCCTAAATGATGGGGTTCTGCTAAGTTGGCAAACACATCCTCATCCCAGAGGGTGGTACACCCCATCTTGACTGAGGCAGTGGCTTCTGCACTCGGGACTTACCTTGTCCTGGGTACTTCTTCATCTGGTTGTTCATTTGTACCCTTTATAATAAACCGTAAGAGTAAGCTCAGCTTTTCCTGAGTTCTATGAGTCATTCTAGCAAATTATTTAACCTTGGGGTAATGAGGTAGTTGAAACCTCTTTGTAGGAACTTTCCTTTGTAGGTCAATCAGCAGCAGTTAGGCTAACCTGGGAACCCAGTACTTTCTTTGTTGTCTAAGTGAGGACAGTCTTGTGGGACCGTGGAGTCACACAAAAATTCTAGGTAGTGTCAGAAAGGAATTGAATTGTAGGACACCAAGTTGGCATCAGAGAGTTGGAGAAGTGGTGTTGGAAAAGACACGTTTGATGTCAAGAGGAAGAAAACCCCCCCCTTTTTTTTTTTTTTGAGATGGAGTTTCACTCTTGTTTCCCAGGCTGGAGTACAGTAGTGCAATCTCGGCTCACTGCAACCTCTGTCCCCCGGGTTCAAGTGATTCTCCTGCCTCAGCCTCCCGAGTAGCTGGGATTGCAGGTGCCTGCCACCACGCCCGGCTAATTTTTTGTATTTTTTTTAGTAGAGACGGAGTTTCACTGTGTTAGCCAGGATGGTCTCGATCTCCTGACCTCGTGATCCACCGCCTTGGCCTCCCAAAGTGCTGGGATTATAGGTGTGAGCCACCGTGCTTTTTTTTTTTCCGTCTCAAAAAAAAAAAAAAAAAAAAAAAGCCATTTATTTATGTAAAAGTTTGTCTTAATCGTGACCCAAACAAGGTCCACACACTGCATTTGGCTAATGTGTCTCTCAAGCTCCCCCCACCCTCTTTTTTTTAAAAGACATGGGGGGTCTGGCCGTGTTGCCCAGCCTGGAGTGCAGCGGCTATTCACAGCTGTGATCATAGCTCACTACAGCCTTGAACTCTGGCCTTAAGCAATCCTCTTACTTCAGCCTCTGAACATTTATTTTTGAATAAAGAAATTGGGTCATTTGGTTTGTAGAATTTCCCATATTCTGGATTTGGCAGATTACTTCCTGGTGGTGTAATGTAATAGGTTCATTTGGCCCCTGTATTTCCTTTAGCCTGTGGTTAGAGTTAAAAGCTTAACTGGGTCTAGTTTCCTTTTGTTAGTCAGAGAGAATACTTTAGAGGTGAGGCTGCAAACAATCCCCGGTGTCATATCAGTGTGTTTATGGAATTAGGCTGTTCCAGTTTCTATTATGTCGAAGTGGTTCACCTGATCATAACAGAAGATATTACAATATTCTTAATAATAACCATTTACCGCATACTAATTGTATACCAGGCATTTTGCTGGCTGTGTCCTAGATAATTCCTCATACCACATCTCCGTGTATTAACCACACTCATAGATTTGTAAAAAATGTACTAGAATTGGCTGGTTGGAAGGCTCTACGTGGATTATTACTCTGAGCTTGTTTACTCCTTGAAATATGGAATAATGGCTCCTGCTTTTAATATACAGGCTTATTTTGAGGATTTTTTGAACGGATGTGAGAGCACTTAGAAAACTGGAACACGCCGTGCTACACCATTAAAATTAGTAACATCAGTGAGAAAAAAGCAAGTACATAATAAATATTATAGTTATCCTGTTTGTCTCCTTTATTCATCACACACTTCCTAAGCACATCTCTGGAGGGCACTTTCCAAGGCTCCGGGGGAGCCGGAGAGGCCCAGCCTGGTCTGGTGGGTCCTGGAGCGGCAACGCGGCGCGAGAGGGGAACGGTGAGGCACGGCCTGGCTGCCACCGCGCGCGGAGCCCGGGAGCGGCTCGGGGGCCGTCAGCTGCCTGCCTGCCCGGCTCCTCCAGGGCCTGGAGCTCGGACGCGGGATCTGGGGGATTCTGGGGCGGGGACGCGGGCTCGCGGGGAGCAGTGGCCGCCCCCGGCCGCCGCGTGGCTGTGCTCAGAAGCCGGCCCTGGCGTCAGGAGGCGGGCGCGCGGCGTGGGGGCGCGAGTTCCCCTACCTGCCCGTGCGCCCCGTTAGGCCTTTCCTGGGCCCTAACGACAGCTCGCCCGTGCGTCGCCCTCGCAGCTCTCCCGTGTCCCCAAAATGCCTTTCCCGCGCCCCCCGCGCTTCTGCGGCGACTGCCCAGGGTGCTCCGTAATGCCACAGTCGGACAGCCGAGCCTGCCGGGCGCTTCGGGGAGGGCGCTAGGGGCCCGGACGCGGCCGCCGAGCGTAGGTTCCGGCCTTTACTCTCCGCAGCTGCGCACGGAGCCCCAGCTGGGGTTGTCCGCTCTGGGGATCACAGGCCGCGGAGCCCCGGGCGCCACCCGCCGGCCCCTTCAGACAGCCCGCTTCCGCCGCCGGCCGTGGGACGCAGGCGCCGGGCGGACGCGGCGGCTCCGGCAAGACTCTGGCTTCCCACCCGCCTGAGGCCGCTGGGGCGGGGCTGCAGTGACAGTCCCAAGCGCTACCGCGGAAACAGGAAGTTGGTTGGGTGCGCGCCGGCTCGGGCTGCAGGTCCCGGGTCCCTCGGCCACCGCAGCCGCCCTGCCCAGGTGAAAGGGCTCCCGCACCGCCCGGTGCTCCCCATCTGCCTGGCGCTCCCCATCTGCCTGGCGTTGTGTGCAGAGCTGGAAAGCATGGCTGTTGTATGTATTCTTGCGCCCGTGTGACAACATTTAAACTTCTAAAAACGGAACCTCCTTCCGTTTTAGGATTGCAAGTTAACCTAGGAAAAAACAGCACTCTGCAAATTATTTGCTGGAAAATCTCGATGACTTAGGGCCCATGTATGACTTTGCAGGGGTCTCTCACTCTAGTTTACTGGTGTAGATTTTTTTTAAAAAATCCATCTTATCAAAAAATACCGCTTAAGGTGGAAAATTTCAAATGCAAGTCGCCGTTGATGAGATTACAATTAATATATTTAGGATAGTGAATTAGAGAAAAACTACAGATCAGTACATTATTTTTTTCATATTTTGGGGGGATTTTTTAACGATAACTTTGAAGTTAAAAATTAAAAGATAGGCTGGGCGCGGTGGCTCAGGCTTGTAATTCCAGCACTCTGGGAGGCCGAAGGGGGAGGATGGCTTGAGCCCAGAAGTTCGAGACCAACCTGGGCAACATAGCAAGGCCCCCCCCCCCGCCCTTCCACAACTACAAAAGGTACCAAAAAAAAAAAAAAAAAAAAAAAGCCAGGCGTGGTGGCACGCACCTGAAGTCCCTGCTACTCGAAAAGTTGTGGGTGAAAGGATTGCTTGGGCGCGGGAGCGACGCAGCCTGCGGTTGACAAAAAGTCAAACTCTGTAAAATGTTTGAAGGGATTTATTCTGAGCCAAATATGAGTGACCATGGCTGGTGACACAGCCTTTTGGAGACTCTGAGAACATGTACCCAAGGTGGTCGGGGCCCGGTGTGGTTTTATACATTTTAGGGGAGCCATGAGTCATCAGTCAAGTACATGTACGATTAAGATGTACATTGGTTCGGCCCGTAAAGGTGGGACCACTGAGGCGGTGGGGGGGTCGGGGGCTTCCAGGTTATAGGTAGATTGAAAATTTTCTGATTGGCATTTGGTTGAAAGATTTATTATCAATGGAAAGGAATGTCTGGGTTACAATAAGAGGCTGTGGAGACTGAGGTTTTATCATGCAGATGAAGCCTCCAGGTTAGTATCCAGCATGTTAAATGCTGGTCTGGTTTTCCTGAATTCCAAAAGGGAGGAGGACAAAATGAGGCAAGTTCCACCCCCACCTCCCATCAGGCCTAATGTTTTTCTTAAAACAACCTAAAACAAGATTAACTCTGGAATGCGCTTGGTGGGGGTCCATGCAGATGGTTGAGGGGCCTTAGGATTTCATTTTTGATTTACATTGGGCAGTGGAGTGAGACCCTATCTCTAAAAAAATAAAAATAAAAATAAATACAAATCGAAAAGTTCAAAGAAAGATAATTTTTTTTTTTTTTTTGAGACGGAGTTTCGCTCTTGTTGCCCAGGCTGGAGTGCAATGGTGCAATCTTGGCTCATCACAACCTCTGCCTCCCGGGTTCAAGCGATTCTGCTGCCTCAGCCTCCAGAGTAGCTGGGATTACAGGTACCACCACCCCAGCTAATTTTGTATTTTTAGTAGTGACGGGGTTTCTCCATGTTGGTCAGGCTGGTCTTGAACTCCCGACCTCAGGTGATCCGCCTGCCTCGGCCTCCCAAAATGCTGGGATTACAGACATGAGCCACCGCGCCTGGCCTAAAGATAAAATATTTTGCTCCCAATTATGGCTTGCAGTGATTATTCATACGTGTTGGGCAGAAATGTTTCATATAATTTATCTATAAATACAGGTATTTTATATTATAATTCAAAATAGGTATTCTTGGCCACTAACCCAATGTCTTGTTTCTTTAGCGTCTCAGCTTCTTTTTTACTTTCAAAGTTGGTCAGGTTTCCTGTTAATAGTTAACTAAATGAAAGCTCACTCACTGACAAAACACACATATTTGGTTTCATTTCAGATAAATGAATTCTGATTTGGGGAAGCAGATGCCAACTTAGAGCCTCGTACCAATCTCTCTGTGTTTAAAAGGTGAGGTGACTTGGTGATTTGCCTGGAAAATTGTAGGTAATATATAATCTAGCTTCCATATTTTACAGATATGTCTGGAGGTACTGGAGAGGTGCATGTCTGCCTTTCCATCCTAGGCCGGTCTGAACTGTCTTGTGGAGGCTCGACACTGTTCCTGCTGGGTTATCGTTGGATGATCTTAATGAGACTGATAAATTGAATTTGGGAGTGAAAACAGTAATACTTTAAGAAATTTTGAACTTTAAAGCTGAGGACTAAGCTCTGATTTTTTTTCTTATCAATCCTTACAAAAGCACTGAGCTGGGTACTGCAGGTTGTGAGGTTCAGGAGGGGGTACGTGGCTAGTATAAGGTCACAGAGCAGCGCTGCCGTTTGGCTACTTTCCAGTTCAGCATAGCTGCCATCTCTGCTGGTGGTATTCGCAGCATGCGGGATAAAATACTCACCAAGGAACAAGTGGCTAACTCCTCACAGAGCTCTCACGGTTTCCTCTTTCCTGACGAAAAGGTAGGGCTCCCTGGGGTGGGGGTGTCTGCAGAGCTCCCAGGTGCTGGTGGTCAGCAGGTTTTCCTTTGTCTGAGTCAGAAAATGGGGAGGCAGAAAATGGGGAGTCTGGGGAAAGGTTTGGCCCAGCAAGTGAGTGAAATAAGTCAATTTATACCCGTTGGGAAGCAAGCTGGCCGGTAGGAGTGAAGCCTCGTTACCTAATGCTGGTGCCATTTCTAGGGAGAGAAGGAATCACTTCCCCGAGCCTATCAGTCCTACAAGTTATTCTGTCTTCATTTCAAGTGGGAAAAGAGGGCATGTTTTGGCCATAACATTGAAGACAACAATGCATCTTTGGTAGAGAAAGAAAAGGAATTTCCCAAGATTTGAGCAAAAGGTGCTTTTTGTTTTGTTTAGTTTTTGAGACAGTCTCCCTCTGTCGCCCAGACTGGAGTGCAGTGGCCTGATCTCTGCTCATTGCAAGCTGTGCCTCCCAGGTTTAAGTGATTTTCCTGCCTTAGCCTCCTGAGTAGCTGGGATTGCAGGCATGCACTACTACACTAGGCTAATTTTTGTATTTTTAGTAGAGATGGGGTTTCGCCATGTTGGCCAGGATGGTCTTGAACTCCTGGCCTCAGGTGATCTCCCTGCCCCCACCTCCCAAAGTGCTGGGATTACAGGGTGTGAGCCACCTGCCCAAAAGGTGTTCAGTTTAAGGATCTGCTGTCAAAAGTTTTCTAAATAGGTTTTTGCTCTGTTACCTTTTTTTAAAATTTTTTAAATTTTAATTTTTATTTTTTGAGACAGAGTATCGCTCTGTCACCCAGGCTGGAGTGCAGTCGCTCGATCTCGGCTCACTGCAAGCTCCGCCTCCCAGGTTCATGTCATTCTCCCTCAGCCTCCCGAGTAGCTGGGACTACAGATGCCTACCACCACGCCTGGCTAATTTTTTTTGTATTTTTTGTAGAGATGGGGTTTCACCGTGTTAGTCAGGATGGTCTCCATCTCCTGACCTTGTGATCTGCCTGCCTCAGCCTTCCAAAGTGCTGGGATGACAGGCATGAGCCACTGTGCCTGGCCTTTTTTTTTTGAGATGGAGTCTTACTGGGCTGGAGTGCTATGGTGAGATCTCGGCTCACTGCAACCTCCGCCTCCTGGGTTCAAGTGATTCTTGTGCCTCAGCCTTCCAAGTATCTGGGATTACACACTCATTCAACCACAGCCGGCTAAATTTTGTATTAAATATTTTTAGTAGAGATGGGGTTTCACCATGTTGGCTAGGCTGGTCTTGAACTCCTGGCATCAAATGATCCACCTGCCTTTGTCTCCCAAAGTGCTGGGATTACAGGCATGAGCCACCATATCCTGCACAGCCACTCTTATCTTTTAAAAAATGATTGTGTTGGGCTGGGCGCAGTGCTCATGCCTGTAATCCCAGTAGTTTGGGAGGCCGAGGCCGGTGGATTGCTTGAGTCCAGGAGTTTGCGACCAGCCTAAGCAACATGGTGAAACCCTGTCTGTATGAAAAATGCAAAAATTAGTGGGGTGTGGTGGCGCACGCCCACCTGTAATCCCGACTGCTCCAGAGGCTGAAGTGGGAGGACTGCTTGAGTCCAGGAGGTGGAGATTGCACTGAGCTGGGATCACACCACTGTACTCCAGCATGGGTGACAGGGCAAGACCTTGTCTCAAAAAAAAAAAAAAAAAAAAAATTATGTTATACCAGATAGCTGCTTCGCATGGTTATCAGGGTCTTCTCAGGAAGATATGTAACAGTTTCAGCCAGCTTGCTAGCTCTGTCTTTCTCTGTCCTTTTTCCTCCCCCAACCCCTTCTGCTCTTCTCTCCTTTTCTACTGTCCTCCTTCCTTCTTTTCTTCCAAGTCTTCCTCTGCTTGAATGGCTCTGTGTCGGATATTTTAAATTCCTTTTTGGAAAAAAGAATGTTAGGGGTAGAAGGTAGTCGATTTACGGGTGGCAAATCCTTACAAATCTGCAGCAACCTCAATTCTTGCCTTCTCAGAAGAGAGAATTCCACTGAGGGACATAAGGCAGAAAAAGAGACTGAGGCAAGTTTCTCAGCAGGAGTGAAAGTTACTAAAAAGCTTTAGAGCAGGAAAGAAAGAAAAGTACACTTGGAAGAGACCCAAGAGGGCAGTGTGAAGGTCAAGTGCAGTGTTTAACCGTAATCCTCGGACTTTATAGGCTGACCCACTTGTCTTGCACCCGTTCCCCATGATTCTTCCCTTCGGGTGCGCTGCCTGCGTGCACAGTGCCCTCCTTACGCTTGGGAGGTGAGCATGAGCAGTGTGTTTAGGAAGCTGTACACATGCCCGTCTGAAGCTTTCTTCCTGTTTCCTGTGGAGTATCTGAAGCTTTCTTCCTGTTTCCTGTGGAGTATCTGAAGCTTTCTTCCTGTTTCCTGTGGAGTATCTGAAGCTTTCTTCCTGTTGCCTGTGGAGTATCTGAAGCTTTCTTCCTGTTTTCCTGTGGAGTGCCCCCAGAGGGTCATACTCTGCTGTTTTGTCTCCTGATGTGTATGTCCAGGAAGTTGCCTCTCCCTGGCATCTGCATTTAATTTACACTTTAATGTGGTAGCTGTGGACCCTCAGGAGATTGTCTTTCCCTGGCACTGGCTGCTAAATGATCGTTTTTAGGGAGGCAGTGTGATAACTGTTGAATGGTCACCTGGTGATCACTTGACATTCCTGGTGGATGGGAAGAGCCCTCACCCGGTCCGCTCATGCCTGTCTAGAACCTGTAACAAGAACATAGAAGTTTGAGGGAAGCGCCAGAACTCCACTGACCCGGTTTGTTTGCAGTAAGGTCGAGGTCGCTTATCCACGAGGAGTAAGAGGCCATGCTGAGTGAGCTCAGTGGGGAGCTGAGGTGGGGAGAGCCCAAGTTGCCTGGAAGTGCAAACCCACAGGCTGTCCTTCATCCTCTCTTCATCCAGGGAAGCTGGAGGACTGCAGTTCTACATACTCTCCTGCCCTGAGCCCCACTTCAGGCTGTCAGCCAGCCTTGTCTCCAGCCTGCTCACCACTCACTGATGCTTTTTGCACCTCTTAGTCATAACTACTCAAACAAGGCTCACTCTGATGAAAAGAAGGGGGTGTAGAAGAGCAATTTTCTTTTTTTTTTTTTTGAGACGGAGTCTCGCTCTGTCGCCGGGCTGGAGTGCAGTGGCCGGACCTCAGCTCACTGCAAGCTCCGCCTCCCGGGTTCCCGCCATTCTCCTGCCTCAGCCTCCCGAGTAGCTGGGACCACAGGCGCCCGCCACCGCGCCCGGCTAGTTTTTTGTATTTTTAGTAGAGACGGGGTTTCACCGTGTTAGCCAGGATGGTCTCGATCTCCTGAGCTCGTGATCCACCCGTCTCGGCCTCCCAAAGTGCTGGGATTACAGGCTTGAGCCACCGCGCCCGGCCGTGAAGAGCAATTTTCAAGTTGTCATTCTGGTATTTCATCTTGGGAAGCCAGAAACTTGCGAAACAGCAAGGGTTTGCATACTGGAAGACTCCTCAGCCCGCCCCAGAAGGTCAGCATTCCTTCCCTCTCAACTAGTTCTGTCCAGCTGGAGGAAACATACGGTGTTAGAAAGTTTCAACTATGGTTTTGGCTTTAGCTTTTAGGATTTTAGGAGATTCTAGGCCTTTTGAAAAAAAATGAGATATTAAGATCGAATGGTTGCCTTTGACATATTTGATTTAATCAAAACAAAGGAAATTGCCTGGCATTAAGGAACCTGTTATTTATCCCTTAGAGGCACTCCAGCAGAGAACCCAGGCCCTTCAACCATACTGCTGCATGGTTCCTGACCCTTGTGCAGTCCGTTCCGAAGTTTCTTACAGATGAGGTGGGTGACTGCAAATAGGCACTGCTTCTCCTCTGTGTCAGAGTAAGCACGGGCAGCGCAGGGTGGCTGCACGTCCTGAGTTGCCTGGGACAGTCCTGGTTTACACCATTGCTCTGTTTTAATTTTTATCAATGACATTTTTCACTCAAAGCTGTCCCCAGTTGGAAGATAAAGGTATGTGGTGACTGCAATTATGCGGCATATGTGCTTTGCCTTAGAGAAAAGAGAGGTGACAGAAGTTCTAAGTGAAGAAGATAAAGTACAGCTTGACCAGCTGATAAATATGTTGCGGGGTTTTGGAGGAGAATTTCAGCAAGAGCAGTTGACTCCAGATGATATGCAAGGCTGCTTTTGACCTCTCTGTCTGAAAGGACATACTTAAAATCCAGTATTTGTTTGCTGTTCCCCCTTTATTTATTTTGAGACAGAGTCTCACTGTGTTGCCCAGGTTGGAGTGCGGTGGCACGATCTCTGCTCACTGCAACCTCCGCCTCCTGGATTCAAGCAGTTCTCCTGCCTCAGCCTCCTGAGTAGCTGGGATTACAGGCATGTACCACCACGCCTGCCTAATTTTTGTATTTAGTGGAGACGAGGTTTCACCACATTGGCCGTTCTGGTCTTGAACTCCTGACCTCAGGTGATCCACCTGCCTTGGCCTTCCAAAGTGCTGGGATTACGGGCAGCACAGGGTGGCTACACATCCTAAGTTGCCTAGGACAGTCCTGGTTTACACCATTGCTCTGTTTTAATTTTTATTAGTGACATTTTTCACTCAATGCTGTCCCCAGTTGGAAGATAAAGGTATGTGGTGACTGCAATTATGTGGCATGAGGTGGTTCTTGCCTCCATGCCTGTGTGCGACATGAAGTTCCTAGGTTCATGTTAGAAAATCGTCTTCCTAGAAAAGGATTTTATTTTATTTTATTTTATTTTTTTTTTGAAACGGAGTCTCGCTCTGTCGCCCAGGCTGGAGTGCAGTGGCCGGATCTCAGCTCACTGCAAGCTCCACCTCCCGGGTTTACGCCATTCTCCTGCGTAAGCCTCCCGAGTAGCTGGGACTACAGGCGCCCGCCACCTCGCCCGGCTAGTTTTTTTTTTATTTTTAGTAGAGACGGGGTTTCACCATGTTAGCCAGGATGGTCTCGATCTCCTGACCTCGTGATCTGCCCGTCTCGGCCTCCCAGAGTGCTGGGATTACAGGCTTGAGCCACCGCGCCCGACCTGGATTTTATTTTTTTATTGGTTCAATTAGGGTTTCTGGTCAGTGTCTCCCAAAGCTCCCACCCCATAAGACTTCAGGGGCTTCTTTGACATCTGAGCTCCTTATACCCTCCCTGGGAAGGTCCCCACCCTTCTCAGATTCTCATCTTGAGCGCAAGTTGAAGAACCCGGAGGTAGAATGCCACCATCTATAGCCTATCTCAGGGTAGCCTTTTACCAACTTTTCTCTTCGGAGGTCTCAAAAATAGATGCTTTCTTTACAGGATGCAAAGCTCATCCAGTATTTGGGATGAATCCTTAAAAAATTTGAAGGTTCCCTTACAGAAGCCACTATACATAAGTATCTTATAAAAGAAGGCCATCCAGAGTTTTAAGGCATATTTGCAGAGGAAAACCCATTTTTGTGAAAACATATAATCTGATTGCAGTGTTCAATATTCACATTCACAGATGGTGGCTCTGTGGCAGTCACCCACAGGTTCTTCCTGCCCACTGCACAGACAAAACCATTCACTGAGACTATGGTACTGCAGTAAATAAGTAGTTTAGGCTGGGCATGGTGGCTCACGCCTGTAATCCTAGCACTTTGGGAGGCTGAGGCGGGTGAATCACTTGAGCCCAGGAGTTCAAGAGTAGCCTGGGCAGCATGGCAAAACCCCATCTCTTCTAAAAATACACACACACACACACACACACAAATTAGCTGGGCGTGGTGGCACACACCTATAATCCCAGCTACTCGGGAGGCTGAGGCATGAGAATCACTTGAACCTGGGAGGCAGAGGTTGCAGTGAGCTGACATGGTGCCATTGCACTCCAGCCTGAGTGACAGAGTGAGACTGTGTCTCAAAAAAAAAAAAAGAGTTTAATTAACTTAATTAACATAAGGCTGGCCACCGAGATGGAATTATTACTCAAAGCAGTCTCTCTGAATCTCAGAGGTCAGGGTTTTTATGGACAGTACTGCGGGCAGGGAGCTGGGGAACAGGAGTTGCTGATTGGTTGGGATGAAATCACAGGGGCGTGGAAAACGGTCCTTGTGTACTGAGCCCGCTTCTGGGTGGGGTCATAGGATCAGTTGAGTCATGAAATATGGGTCCCGGCAGCGTCAGTCAGGTGGGGTAAATCAGTTGCCCGAAAGTCTGAAAAATACCTGCAAAGATCAATCTTAGGGTCTCCAATAGTGACGTTATCTATAGGAGAAATTGAGGGAAGTCACAAATCTTTGTTACCTCTGGCCACATGACTCCTGAGCAATAAGGGATTATAGAAACTACATTCAGCAGAATTCAAGCCCCTCCCCTAATCCTAATCTCGAAACCTTTCATTAGTTTTCAAAGGTGGTTTCGGCCTCAGAACAGGGAGGAGACTATTATCATTCTTGCTTCAAAGTTAAACTATAAACTGGCCTGGCACAGTGGCTCACGTCTGTAATCTCAGCACTTTGGGAGGTTGAGGCAGGTGGTTCATTTGAGGTCAGGAGTTTGAGACCAACCTGGCCAACATGGCGAAAACCCATCTCTACTAAAAAAATATACAAAAATTAGCTGGACATGGTGATGGGTGCCTGCAATCCCAGCTACTTGGGAGGCTGAGGCATGAGAATCACTTGAACCCAGGAGGCAGAGGTTGCAGTAAGCCCAGATCACACCACTACACTCCAACCTGGGTGGCAGAGGGAGACCCCATTTCAAAAACAAAACCAACCGAACAAACAAAAACCTATAAACTAAATTCCTCCCGAAGTTAGCTTGGCCTATATCCAGGAATGACCAAGGACAGCTTGGCAGTCAGAAGAAAGACGGAGTCAACTATGTCAGATTTGGGTTACCATTATAATTTTGCAAAGGTGGTTTCAGTGTCAGATCCTGGCCTCCGGGTCTAATGTGGAATGAATTCCTTGGATCTTTGAAGCACATTGTCCGTGAATATTCACTTATTTTGTGGAACAGCAGAGTAGAAAAGTGATGAATTAACACCAAAAGCAACACGTTACAGGGGTCTTATGACCTGTTGATTTTTAAGGTCAAGGAGGGGTGGTGGGGAATCCTAGGAGTCAAATTATACTTAAATAATGCTGAATTTTCCATTATGTCTCCTACCTTAACACACATCATTCTCATGGATTCCCATTTGATGATTTCTAGAATGTTAACGAAACTATCACCTTGGTGAGAAGATCATTCTAATAGCTTTATTCTGGCATATGGAGGTATGGAGAGCTTGAAGGAGTTGGAAAGGTCAGTTTTTCCTTGTTAGTAATCTGGCATATTATTGTAAAAGTATAAGACAATTAATTTGGAAACGTAGATAGGATTGTGTAACTCATTAGTTCTTAATAGAGAGAGGGTTGATACCTGTATTATTAGGGAACATAACTGAATTCTCTTCCTTTTCCCTGTAGGTGCCCAGCTAAGACCAGCATGCCGTCACCCTACCCAGGGCTCTGCAGTTTTCTCATGGTGAACCCTTGATGGATTTGTTGTTGCTTGAGAAATGGCTATGATCGAAGTGGGATTTGAAGGACAGAATTTTTATCCGTTAAAGAGGAAGAGTGCATTGCTGTTGAAACTCATAGCTGTTGTCTTTGCTGTGCTTCTATTTTGTGAATTTTTAATCTATTACTTAGCGATCTTTCAGTGTAATTGGCCTGAAGTGAAAACCACAGCCTATGATGGTGAACAGGCCTCACATGAGCCTGTGCTCAAAGCCATGTTTTTGGCTGACACCCATTTGCTTGGGGAATTCTTAGGCCACTGGCTGGACAAATTACGAAGGTAAGAGGTAAAATCAGGAATCTTTCTAAAATTCTGTAGGCAAAACGGTATAGCTCTCTCCTCATAGGCAAGGCTTAATGGCTTTAGGTTACTCTTAGTTATTTTCCTCTTAAAGGAGGACATTTAGGGACATTTGACTTTTCCTTGAATTTACCATTTACTGAGGATGTATACCGGGCCCCATAATTTGGGAGTCGGATCTGGGCCACGTTGCTTTGTGACTTTGGACAAGTTGTTAGGGCCCCTCTGAGCCCCTGCCTCCTTGTTTGTAACTGGGTGAAGACAAGAAACATCACAAGATGTGCCATGCAATGACAAGAAGATGCCACGCGATGCCTGGTGCCGGGACTGGTCCCCTGGGCAGGGAGGACACAGATCTGGGTTGATGGTCCCATCTCACCTTCCCTGTGTGTACCTTTGAGCCTGTTGCATTTCAGCCTCCTCTAGACAGCGGAGGAGCAGAGCAGATGTATGGCTGTCACCCTAGGGAAGGGTCAGGTCCTGTCTTTCCGACTCACACCTGCCCCTGTATGGTCCTTTGGTTTTTTTTCACCAGGAAGCTTTTTAAACAAATTATTTTTAGGCCGGACGCAGTGGCTCACGCCTGGAATCCCAGCACTTTGGGAGGCCAAGGCAGGCGGATCACCTGAGGTCAGGAGTTCAAGACCAGCCTGGCCAACATGGTACAACTCCATCTCTACTAAAAATAGAAAAATTAGCCGAGCATGGTGCCGGGCGCCTATAATCTCAGCTACTCGGGAGGCTGAGATAGGAAAATCGCTTCAACCCGGGAGGTGGAGGTTGCAGTGAGCTGAGATTGCACCGCTGCACTCCAGCCTGGGCAACAGAGCAAGACTCCATCTCAAAACAAAAACAAAAACAAAAGAATAAAGAATAATGAAGGAGCAGCTATACCTTTTTACTAAGAGTTTTATTTATTTATTTATTATTATTATTATTTTATTTTATTTTATTACTAAGAGTTTTAACCAAAGGAGGCATGAGCTCAAGAAGGGCTGGTGCAGGGCCTGCAGTGTCTTGGTCTTACAAATCGATCCTGATTGATGTCTTGTCTCTCCAAGTAGCCTTCTGTGCATTCTTCCTGCTGCTGTTTCTAGATTTTTACTTTCCGTGGTGAATAAATCAAGAGAAACTGAGAAGCTGGGTGCAGTGCTTCACGCCTGTAATCCCAGCACATTAGGAGGTGGAGGTGAAGGCTTGCTGGAGGCCAGGAATTTGAGACCAGCCTGGGCCATGTGGCAAGACCTCATTTCTACAAAAAAACAATAAACAAAAACCAAAAAATAGCTAATTTTTGCTATTTATGCCTACTTGTAGTCCTAGTTACTCAGGAGGCTGAGGCAGGAGGATCATTTGAGCTATTCTGAGCACCAGAGTTTGAGCCTCCAGTGAGCTGTCATCGTGGCACCGCAGTCCAGCTTGAGTGACAGAGCAAGAGCCTGTCTCTAAGAAAAAGTAAAATAAAATAAGAAAAACAGAGAAATGTATTTTGAGAGAGATCTTGGGTAAAAAGCCTTTTATGGGTGATGTGTACCATTCAGTGGTTAACTTGGGATCTAAAAATCTTCCTAGGCCGGGCGCGGTGGCTCAAGCCTGTAATCCCAGCACTTTGGGAGGCCGAGACGGGCGGATCACGAGGTCAGGAGATCAAGACCATCCTGGCTAACACGGTGAAACCCCGTCTCTACTAAAAATACAAAAAATTAGCCGGGCGTGGTGGCGGGCGCCTGTAGTCCCAGCTACTCGGAGGCTGAGGCGGGAGAATGGCGTGAACCCGGGAGGCAGAGCTTGCAGTGAGCCGAGATCGCGCCACTGCACTCCAGCCTGGGAGACACAGCGAGACTCCGTCTCAAAAAAAAAAAAAAAAAAAAAAAACTAGAAATCTTCCTCTGACCAGAAATTACATTGACTGATTAAAACGAGGTCTAGCTCTGTTGCCCAGGCTGGAGGGCAGTAGTAGGATCATAGCTCACTGCAGCTGCCGAAGTAGCTAGGACAATGGGCTTGTGTCACTACGCCCAGCTAATTTTTACTTTTTTGTAGAGATGGAATTTTGCTGTGTTGCTCATGCTGGTTTTGAACTCTTGGCCTCAAGTGATCCTCCCGCCTTGGCCTCCCAAAGCATTGAAATTACAGGTGTGAGCCACTGCACCCAGCCTACTTTCCCCTGTTTCTATATCCCAGGACATAGCATTTCCCTTTTGTAGAGGAGGAGCAGCCAGGAAAATGCCTTAAAAAGGAGGAAAGGTTTGGATTCCTTAGGAAAATGACATAGGCTGGATTTGGTTAGGTTGAAGACGGGGAGGGCTGAGCAAGCACTGACATTTTTGTGCACCTCCCGTGTGCCTGTGCTATCCTTTACAAACGCTGCCTCATTTAACCCCATAACTATCCTGTGCAAGTAGGGTTTAAAATCCCCATTTACCGGCCTGGTGTGGTGGCTCACGCCTGGAATCCCAGCACTTTGGGAGGCTGAGGCAGGTGGATCACTGGAGGTCAGAAGTTCAAGACCAGCCTGACCAACATGGAGAAACCCCATCTCTACTAAATATACAAAATTAGCTGGGTGTGGTGGCACATGCCTATAATTCCAGCTAGGCAGGATAATCACTTGAACCCGGGAGGTGGAGGTTGCAGTGAGCCGAGATCACACCATTGCACTCCAGCCTGGGCAACAAGAGGGAAACTCCATCTCTAAATAAATAAATAAATAAATAAATAAAATAAAATCTCCATTTACCAATGAAGACACTGGGAATCAGAATAGGCAGTATTTTCAAAGGCACACAGCTTTTCAATGGATTGAGCTGGGATGTTAAGCCATTATCTGTCAGATTGCAGATCCCAGGCTCTTTTTTCTTTTTGAGACAGAGTCTCTCTCTGTCACCCAGGCTGGAGTGCAGTGGCGTGATCTCAGTTCACTGCAACTTCCGCCTGCTGGGTTCAAGCAATTCTCCTGCCTCAGCCTCCCAAGTAGCTGGTACCACAGGCACCCGCCACCATGCACAGCTGACTTTTTGTATTTTTAGTACAGACAGGGTTTCATGATATTGGCCAGGCTGGTCTCGAACTCCTGACCTCATGATCTGCCCACTTTGGCCTCCCAAAGTGATGGGATTACAGGCATGAACCACTACGCCCGGCCTCCAGGCTCTTTTCATTTGCTTGTTTTACCTCGGAGGATTACTTGCATGTCTGAAATCTACAGGATTTACTGTTTTGATATTGACTAGCCTATTTCTCTTGTCATCTCCCCTCCAACTTGGAAGCAAAGAAGGAAGTTGAATTCCCTTTAAGAAGAAGTGAAAATTAAGCTAGATACAATCATTTCCTCTGTGTGGTACAAAATCAGTCTACATTGAACATCTTTGGAAGCTGCATTAGGCTCTCTCAGATCCAGTTGTGTCTTGACTGAGTGATGGCTGCAGGGTGCAGAGTGGGGCCTGTTCCTGCCCACCACAGTGTCGGGTGTGTGGGAGGCGTGGCCAGACTCTTCTCTGATACTTAATTCCCCACCTTTAATCAGACACGGCCTCTTTGGCCCTTCAAGCCGGGGATGGGAATGCAAGAGTGGGACTCTGGAAGAAGGAGAGTGGAACCATTTAGTTTGCTGTTTAAATGGTGCATAATACAGAAGTAGCCTCCACCCAGGAAAGACGGATGCCTTACTTTTTCCTATTGGTGTCAAGGGAATGGCAGATGGAGAGAGCCTTCCAGACAGCTCTGTGGTTGCTGCAGCCGGAAGTCGTCTTCATCCTGGGGGATGTCTTTGATGAAGGGAAGTGGAGCACCCCTGAGGTAGGACCCTGTGTTCCAGGTGCCCTCATCCTGCTTTGAGGTCCAGCAGAAGTAACCCAGAGAATCCACGAAGCAATGTCAGCTCGAGTTGGAAATTTTATGGAAGTTGTACTTACTACTGATATTAAAAATGCATAGGCTATCTGGAAGATGCTTAGAATTCATAGGCTATCTAAGATTATTAGAACAACTCAATCTCGGGTTAGGTTGGCTAATCGTAAACATTTGTCTATGTAGGAAATAGGTCGATTAGCCAGATATCATTTACTTGGAATACACTGTTTCGTGAACCTCTTGGGAAAGGGAGAAATGGGCAAGATAGATGTTATTTCAGTTGTGACCGAAATTGCAAAATACATATTGAAATGTACATTTAATTTCACACTGTTATTGAACCACAACATTAGGAGAATTGTGCTACAAAAGGGACTTGCTATTCTCCTCTGATTTTCTTTTTTCTGAGTGAGAGATGCAGAAGGGGCCCTGGGGACTCGATGTGAGGATCCTCTGCCTTCAGAGGGGCTGAGACCTCCGCCGGGGTATTGGGGTAATGTAAGACTTTCCACAAACCAAAGAGAAAAGCTCTTCTCACCTTAGTTGTCACAATGTTTTGCTTATTATATCCTCGGAACAAAACAAATGAAGACATGAACTGTTCTTGCTGCTTAAAAATGTTCAGTCACTAATGGTTTTTGGAAAATATTTAATTTGGGGTATAGTCTAAAAAACTTCATCACATGCCTGTAGTACCAGCACTTTGGAAGCCCAGGGCAGGAGGAGTTTTTTTTTTTTTTGAGATGGAGTTTCGCTCTTGTTGCCTAGGCTGGAGTGCAATGGCGCAATCTCAGCTCACTGCAAACTCTGCCTCCCAGGTTCAAGCGATTCTCCTGCCTCAGCCTCTTGTGTGGTAGGATTACAGGCATGCGTCACCATGCCCGTCTAATTTTGTATTTTTAGTAGACATGGGGTTTCTCCATGTTGGTCAGGGTGGTCTCGAACTTCTGACCTCAGGTGACCCACCCACCTCGGCCTCTCAATGTGCTGGGATTACAGGCATGAGCTACTGTGCCTGCCTTTTTTTTTTTTTTTTTTTTTTGGTGGTGGAGGGGATGGAGTCTCACTCTGTCACCCAGGCTGCAGTGCAGTGGTGTGATTTTGGCTCACTGCAACCTCCACCTCCTGGGTTCAAGCAATTCTCCCTCCTCAGCCTCCCGAGTAGCTGGGATTACAGGCATACACTACCATGCCTAGCTAATTTTTTTTGTATTTTAGTAGAGATGGGGTTTCACCATGTTGCCCAGGCTGGTCTCGAACTCCTGAGCTCAGGCAGTCTGCCCACCTTGGCCTCCCAAAGTGCTGGCATTATAGGCATGAGCCCCCACGCCAGGCCTAGTCCAAGGCAGGAGGATCGTTTGAGCCCAGGAGTTCAAAACCTGGCAACTTAGTGAGACCCTGTTTCTACAAAAAATACAAAAATTAGCCAGGCATGGTGGTGCCCGCCTATAGTCCCAGCTACTCAGGAGGCTGAAGTGGGAGGATCGCTTGAGCCTGGGAGGTCGAGGCCACAGTCAGCTGTGCACCACTGCACTCCAGCCTGGGTGACAGAGTGAGACCCTGTCTCAAAAAATAAAGATAAAAATCAAGGAAGACAAAAAACCAAACCAAAAGCAAAATAAAAAAACCCACAACAAAAACCCACAAAACCTTACTGGCGTTTCCTAGGACAATTCAATAGCTACACAAGAGAAGTCTTGGTTGGGAGTTGATAGGAACCACTGTTTACAGAGTCGCAATGTTTGTTATCCTCTAGGCTGTAATTCAATGTGAGATAGTGGAAATGTTATATGTAAAAACAACTAGTTACAAAATGAGGTTGGATAGATATGTTGCTTTTCCAAATTAAGGGCAATATTTTATGTTTTTCTATGCCTGTTATTCTGATTTTATGCTACTCTAACTTTATTTATTTATTTATTTTTTTGAGCTGGTGTCTTGCTCTGTCACCAAGGCTGGAGTGTGTGGCGTGATCTCAGCTTACCGCAACCTCTGCCTCCCTGGTTCAAGTGATTCTCCTGCCTCAGCCTCCTCGAGTAGCTGGGACTACAGGCGACCGCCACCACACACAGCTAATTTTTGTATGTTTAGTAGAGACAAGGTTTCACCATGTTGGCCAGGCTGCTCTCAAACTCCTGACCTCTAGTGATCCGCCTGCTTCAGCCTCCCAAAGTGCTGGGAGTAGGGGTGTGAGCCACCGTGCCCAGCCATCTAACTTTAAATGTTATTTGTTAAAGTGGAATCTTTGTAAATGTATTCAAGGACACTATCCAGCATGTTTCCTTAGGTTTTGCCAGATTTACAACGTTTAGGATAAAGTTGGTTACCATCTAGAATTGAGGGTTTTTTTGTTTTTTTCCCTACCCTAGGGTGTTTGTACAATCGATATTTTTAGCTTTATAAAAATAAGAACTACACTAACATAACTCTGAAGTTTTAATAGTTAAAGCAAGTATCAGAATAATTTTGAAATATATGTTACAATAAGTATTTTTTGTCTTTCTTTCTCCCACATCTCATTAGTTCGTTTCCACAGTTGTAGCCGTAGGGGAATGCCACATTTTTTATTTTTTATTTTTTATTTTTTGAGACGGAGTCTCACTCTATGGTCCAGGCTGGAGTGCAGTGGCGCGATCTCGGCTCACTGCAAGCTCTGCCTCCTGGGTTCACACCATTCTCCTGCCTGTAGCTGGGACTACAGGCTCCTGCCACCACGCCTGGCTGTTTTTTGTATTTTTAGTAGAGATGGAGTTTCACCGTGTCAGCCAGGATGGTCTCAATCTCCTGACCTCGTGATCCACCTGCCTCAGCCTCCCAAAGTGCTGGGATTACAAGTGCGAGCCACTGTGCCCGGCCGGGAATGCCACTTTTAAAGATGTTTTCAACCTCATCTTGGTTGGGACACATGAAGAACTTACTGGACATTTTGTAAGAGCCTGTTCTTATAGCATGCCCAGATCTTAAGCATTTCTCCACCAGGGTCTATGAATGGTCTTCAGGGGATCTTGAAATAATAGGTGCATGAACCAAATATTTTTTAGAATTGCCAGTTATTGTTTTAAGATGGGAGAGGATACCATTTAAAAATTTGGCATCAGGCTGGGCTTGGTGGCTTACGCCTGTAATCCTAGCACTTTGGGAGGCTGAGGCAGGTGGATCACTTGAGGTCAGGAGTTCGAGACCAGCCTGGCCAACATGGTGAAACTTTGTGTCTACTAAAAATACAAAAATTAGCTGGGCATGGTGGCAGGCGCTTGTAATCCCAGCTACTCAGGTGACTGAGGCACAAGGATCACTTGAACCCTGGAGGCGGAAGTTCTAGTGAGCCAAGATCATGGCCACTGCACTCCATCCTGGATGACAGAGTGAGACCCTGTCTCAAAAAAACAACAAAATAAAACAAAAACTTGGCATCAAATTACATAACAGTAAGTATTAATTGTAGTCTTAAAAAAGACATACTGTGGCCAGGTGCGGTGGCTCACGCCTGTAATCCCAGCACTTTGGGAGGCCAAGGTGGGCGGATTATGAGGTCAGGAGATCGAGACCATCCTGGCTAACATGGTGAAACCCCGTCTCTACTAAAAATACAAAAAAATTAGTTGGGCATGGTGGCGGGCGACAGAGCAAGACTCCATCTCAAAAAAAAAAAGTTCTACATCATCTTTATGGACATCTGATTTAAACAGGGGAATTCATTCACTTCTCACATCAAAATAGGGATCATTGGCTGGGTGCGTTGGCTCACACCTGTAATCCCAGCACTTTGGGAGGCTGAGGCGGGTGGATCACGAGGTCAGGAGATCAAGACAATCCTGGCTAACATGGTGAAAACCTGTCTCTACTAAGAATACAAAAAAAAGCCAGGCATGGTGGTGTGTGTCTGTAATCCCAGCTACTCCAGAGGCTGAGGCAGGAGAATCACTTGAATGCGGGAGATGGAAGTTGCAGTGAGCAGAGATCACACCACTGCACTTCAGCCTGGAGGCAGAGCTGGACTGGTCTCAAAAACAAAACAAAACAAAATAGGGATCATGTTTTTTAGCCACAGGGCAGGGATGGTTCTCTGGCCTCCAGAGGTTTTTCTTTTTCCCTCAGGCCTGGGCGGATGATGTGGAGCGGTTTCAGAAAATGTTCAGACACCCGAGTCATGTACAGCTGAAGGTAGTTGCTGGAAACCATGACATTGGCTTCCATTATGAGTAAGTAGTTCACGAAAGCCCTGCACCCTGAGAGCGCTTGTTAACTATAATTCTAAATCTATTGGAATTCTGGTGAAAGCCCTATTTGTGCTGTCTTGAAATTCGTTTTCCTCAAAAGATGTAAGCTCTGGATATTCAGCTCTTTAAGGGGTTTTTACTTGGTGCATAGTACACCCTCAACAAATATCTGTGGAATGAATGAATTGTATGTGCTCTTGGGAAACGTCTAACTTGAAATGTACATTTAATGGCCAATCATTGTCTTTGGGAATGAAAAAACAAGATCATTTAGACTCTAATAGCTAACATTTATATAGTGCTCTAGTGCTTATAACATGCCATCTGTTTCAAGCACTTTACTTCCGTATATGAACACATTAATCTTTACCATGGTCATGTTGTTTTACCTATATGGTGCCAATGCAGAATGAGGCCCTGGGCAGCTGAGTAACTTGCCCCAGGCTTCGTAGTAAGTAGTGGAACTAAAATTTGAGCTTTGATATCCTGGGGCCAGGTGGGGCCCTTACCTAATAATGCTAGTCTGAAACTCAAGTCTTGAAAGTTACTTTGTGTTCGTGATAACTCTAGGAGTTTCTAAAATGGCTTGTCCTGAAAAATGTTTCCTCTTACACTTGAATATAGGATGAACACATACAAAGTGGAACGCTTCGAGAAAGTGTTCAGCTCTGAAAGACTGTTTTCTTGGAAAGGCATTAAGTGAGTATTATTTGTAAATTCTTCCAAGACCTTGAGTCCTTGGAAACTTCATTTTCTAAAGGTGCCTGCCGTACTGGGATCTGTCATCTGCCCGTGTTCCGTGCAGCCTGGTTTACGAGCTTTATTTATTTATTTATTTTTATTATTTTATTTTTATTTTTATTTTTATTTTTTTTATTTTTTTATTATTTTATTTTATTTTATTTTATTTATTTATTTATTTTTGAGACGGAGTCTTGCTCTGTCGCCCAGGCTGGAGTGCAATGGCCAGATCTCAGCTCACTGCAAGCTCCGCCTCCCGGGTTCCCGCCATTCTCCTGCCTCAGCCTCCCGAGTAGCTGGGACCACAGGCGCCGCCACCACGCCCGGCTAATTTTTTGTGTTTTTAGTAGAGACGGGGTTTTGCCGTGTTAGCCAGGATGGTCTCGATCTCCTGACCTCGTGATCCGCCCGTCTCGGCCTCCCAAAGTGCTGGGATTACAGGCTTGAGCCACCGCGCCCGGCCGGTTTACGAGCTTTAAACAGCAGTGCCTCAGGCTGCCCTTGCTGGTGCCGGCCATGGGAGCTGATAGATGGGAAACCTCAAACCACCCTGGTTTTCCTTCACAACCCCACAGTGAATCGGTCGGTTTGTGACTCTGCCCAGCCACTGTGGGAGTGACATTCTTTCTGCCTGCTCTGTCTCTGGGTGGTGTGAATGTCATCAGCCCACTTTGTAAAAGAGTCTTCTTATTTGATCAAAATGTACTAATTCCCCTTTACAAAGACTGTTCCCGTAGTTATGGTGTCATGGGATTTGGTGGCAAGTGTGTCACAGTGTCTCTGTAGCTCTGTGCTACCCGTCTCCATCGGCCTGGGCTGTTAGACCCGAGCACCCTGACCCTAGCCTGAGCATGAGCAGCTCCCCCTCTGCGAGGCCACCTCAGTGCCCATCTCTAGATCTTTTCTGGGCTGTGTATGCGGCTGCAGCACAGTGGGCGGGACTCTATACTCTCTCCTGATGATAGACGCGGTGGAGAGAAAACAGGTGGGAGTGGAAGCCTTTTCTCTTTTAATCCTGCCCTTCCTGTGGGTGCCGAGCACTCTGTTGACCTTGGACACAGCAGGTCTGCAGGTGAGGTCATTTCTGTCCTGTGGCTTCACCGCCAATGCTCACCTTTCCCTCCCTCCAGTGCTCACCTTTCCCTCCCTCTGCCAGGAGGGCAGAGTCTCTCTCTAGTAGGCGGCTTCCTCTGCTGACTCATAACAGAAACATGATACAGTGAGAATTAGTTCCCTCTAAGTGTGTGTTTAAGACACTTTTAACAGCTCATCATACTGCTGATCACTTGGTAACTCTGCTCCTTATCTCTAAGACAAGTTAAATTTCAAGCAGTCTTTACTGACTGGGACTTTCGTCATTCCAAGATGGTGTGTGTGCAGGAAATAAAAGCATATTTAGTGGGAGTCTATAAAAAAATGTGGCTGCTGAGTCTAACCATAATGGACTCTGTTATTACCGTAGTTTGGGATTATCCATACTCAGTTAGCTCTAAGCGGCACCCTACCCTCTGCCTTACTTGCTGTGTGTGTCTGTATGTCACTGATGCACCCTGTGGTTCCCTCTACCTGTTAGTCACAATATCTGACAAGTACTGAGTACTTTCTAGTGGCAGGCTGTGTTCTAAACACCTGCCATGTCATTTCATTGAATCCTCACAACCAGCTGATGGGGTGGGCAGAGGGATTCTTAGCCCTCTGCACGGAAGATGCACTGTAACAGATGAGCTTCTGTAATCTGGAATTTTTCACAAGTTTAGGGTCAAAAACCCTTTGATCATGTCTTAGACTGAACTCCCAGTCATGCTATTTTTGTTAATACTGACTCATATTTAAAAATACACCAGGCCGGGCGCAGTGGCTCAATCCCAGCACTTTGGGAGGCCGAGACGGGCAGATCACGAGGTCAGGAGATTGAGACCATCCTAGCTAACACGGTGAAACTCCGTCTCTACTAAAAAAATACAAAAACCTAGCCGGGCGAGGTGGCGGGCGCCTGTGGTCCCAGCTACTCGGGAGGCTGAGGCAGGAGAATGGCGTGAACCCGGGAGGCGGAGCTTGCAGTGAGCTGAGATCTGGCCACCGCACTCCAGCCCGGGCGACAGAGCCAGACTCCGTCTCAAAAAAAAAAAAAAATACACCAAATTATTCTGGGTGGTATTGAAAACTGCTCTGGGCTTGTTTCTTTGCACTGGATGCTTAGCTTTCTTTTCATGGGAACAGTGGGGAAAAGCAAGCACTGGTACCCCCAGCGGCCTCACCTGCCTGTGTCCCTCTGCCTCAGCTTCGTGATGGTCAACAGCGTGGCGCTGAACGGGGACGGCTGTGGCATCTGCTCTGAAGCAGAGGCAGAGCTCATTGAAGTTTCTCACAGACTGAACTGCTCCCGAGAGGTAGGAGAGCATCTCAGTGCCACAGGCGACTTCTGGCCCGTGTCGCTCTGCTTTTGTTACTCAGCCCCCAGCTCTTCTTGCCCTTTGATGAGGGTCAGGTGTGCGGATTAATGGCCTGACTTGTACCCAGCAGGCACGTGGCTCCCGCCGGTGTGGACCTGGGCCTCTGCTGCCCGTGTCTGCCCCCGTCCTCCTGCAGGTGAGCTGGGGGAGGAAGGGGCTCATGGCGGACAGCAGGCAGCCCGCAGTTTCACGACAGCCGCCTGAACGACTCTCTCCACCCCGGACAGCATTATCCTCTGTATCGGAGAAGTGATGCTAACTGTTCTGGGGACGATGCTGCTCCTCCCGAGGAAAGGAACATCCCATTTAAGGAGAACTATGACGTGCTTTCACGGGAGGCATCACAAAAGGTTTGCCAGGGTGTCATGATGTTAATTCATGTCGCAGTGCGACTCTCGTCACCTTGCATGTCAGCAAGCAGAGCGCCCAGGCTAGAGCAGGTGTTTGCTGAAACGTTGATGACTTAGTTATCACCTGGGGATGGGTGGATGGAGGCCTGGCTTTCACAGCACCATCATTTAGTTGCTTTCTTTTTTTTTTTTTTTTTTTTCCCAGTAAACCTACTTCTATTTCCTACCCTGAAGTCAATAATAGTCTCAGCTATTCTTTGTATTCAGAGTTTTTCACCAACTTGAATGTGTTTAGAAATGTGAATGGAACTTAAGAGTCAAATTTTTAGGGACTTAATTAAAATTAAAATGTATTTTCTTATATAGATTTATATATTACATTATATATAATATATAAATATAGGAAATGTTTATAAGATAAATGTATAAAATATTTATAAAGATAAAAAAGCACAAAAAGTAGATAAAATCTAGAATGAGAATGGTAGACTCAAAGGGGCTGACCTTACCTTTGATTTAGTATAAATAAACCAAAGGATTTTTACGGAAAAAAATAAACCAGTCCTTCAAAATAAGGATGTAGTATTTAATTTAATGAAAGAAGCGATGGCCAGCGGCTATCTGCTGAGCGGTGAGGGCCTGGTTGAGGGTGAGCTAACAGCCTGCTTTGCTGTCTTCTCGGCCGCTGTCAGCTGCTGTGGTGGCTCCAGCCGCGCCTGGTTCTCAGTGGCCACACGCACAGCGCCTGCGAGGTGCACCACGGGGGCCGAGTCCCCGAGTTCAGCGTCCCGTCTTTCAGTTGGAGGAACAGAAACAACCCCAGTTTCATCATGGTAACGTGAAAGTTTATTTTTTTCTGAAAGCTTTCCATAAGTATTTAAATCAACACAGTAATCAACTATTTAATTGCTGCAATCTGTAAAAATTTACAAAAGTCACACACAAATTTCCCTCCCTCTACACGTAGTTCCATGCACTGCCTCTTGCCAAACACCCTTCCGGGAACCAATCAGCCTGACATTCCTGGGCGGTGTGTGTGGGAAGTGAGGGCAGGGCACTGTCCAGGTGGACTTGATCCTTCAGGGAGGGCCACGTCGTCTCCTCTTACACTCTGTGTGTGTTTACTTTTCTAAAGAAACAACCATTTATTCATTAGGTATACTTAACCATCTTCTCTTATTTTCAAAACATGCCCATTTGACCTGGCAGAGAACGCTACAGCCTTTGCAGGTTGATAAAAGGTGTTTCACTGAATGACCACTGGGCGTTTTAACTCCTTTCAGCCATGGGCTCCTACATCCAGCTCATGGTGCTGGTATGACAGGTTCTTTTCCTTCTTAAAAGATGGGGGAAACCCTAACATTTTCAAATTCAAGTAAATGAAAACATTTGCCACTGTCATTCCACATAAACGTATCTGCAGAGAAAAGCCCACGGAGACGACCTGGACACATGTACTTCTAGGGAACAGATGCTTAGTTGAGCATCAAGGGGCAGGAAGACACTGTTCGCTCCTTGTTCCTTGCTGACCAATGACCCTGGAACTCCATGTACCTCTCTGAATCTCTGTTACGGATCTCCCATTATATTTGATGGGAACCCGGTGGGCCAGGGGCCAGTTTTGACAGGTCAGTGTCCCAGACATTTTCCACCCAGGCACACTTGGGCCTTACTTGTCTCTCCTGCCAGAGCCTGGGCTAGTCGGGCTCTGGGGGAAGAGCCTGGTGCAGGAGGAAGGCCAGGCCCCCTTGTTCTCAGGTGAGGAGGGCCCCTTCCCTGCCTCACCTGAGGGGGACCCCGAGAAGGCAGTTTCTCTCTGCTGTTTCTAAGACTCTGGTGTTCAACCTGTGCCTGGTGCTGTCACCTTAACTCTCCCTTTTCCTTTCCAGGGCAGCATCACGCCCACAGACTACGCCCTCTCCAAGTGCTACCTCCCACGTGAGGACGTGGTTTTGGTCATCTACTGTGGAGCGGTGGGCTTCCTTGTGGTCCTCACACTCTCTCACTTGGGGCTTTTAGCCTCACCTTTTCTTTCTGGTTTGAACTTGCTCAGAAAGCGTAAGACAAGATGAAGAGCAGGCGCCATTGTAAGTATCAAAGCCCAAGAAATGGAACTTTGGGCAGAGATCGAGTAGATGATGAGACCAATTACAGGCCGTCTCTCTGCACATTACAGAAATTCTCAATCACTGACACGAGTAACTGCAAAATAAATAGTTGATTGTACTGTTCTCATGCTAGCAAAGTGGACAGGTACTCTACAACACATCTGTTTTCTCATTTTTATCAAATATATGTATCATCGAAGGTTGCATCTGTACAGTATTAAATGCTATTAATGTCGTCACTCACATGCACGACAGTCCTTGTTCCCCCAGGAAGGGCCTGGTGGCCCCAGCACACACTTGGGATTATGTGTATACGTAAATATTGGGCTGTTTCCCTCGTCCTGTGAAGTGGTTCTCGAATTCCTACGTACCGTAAAGCTGTACCCTTGAAAGTACAGATGTGGCCGGGCGCGGCGGCTCACACTTGTAATCCCAGCACTTTGGGAGGCTGAGGCAGGTGGATCACTTGAGGTCAGGAGTTCAAGACCAGCCTGGCCAACATGGTGAAACCCCTTCTCCACTAGAAATAGAAAAATTAGCCTACCGTGGTGGCACACGCCTGTAATCCCAGCTACTTGGGAGGCTGAGGCAGGAGAATCCCTTGAAACCGGGAGGCGGGGGTTGCAGTGAGGCCGCGATCGCGCCATTACACTCCAGCCTGGGCAGCACTGCGAGACTCCGTCTCAAAAAAAAATTAAAAAAAAAAAGTACAGATGTGATATGCAGAACATATTGTTTTCATAGATTTTTATACTTGATCAATTAATGGAATCAGATTTTTAAATAAGTGTAATTTTCTCTCTAGGAGACCAAGTTGTTACATCTAATAATGCCTGTCAGTGATCAAAAGAAACTTGAAAAGTAGAATGGGATATGGCTTTTGGTACCTGAAAATAAATGCTTTAATAATTGTAAGCCAGATAAAAGTTATTCTTTTTGTTTTTTTTCTTAACAGTCTGGCTCTTGTTTGAATTAAACTGTTAAACAGGATATTTAGTTAGCGGGTAATTGTTGAGTGATGATGCATACAACAACATACTTCCCTTTCTTGCTGGGGGTGTAGCTTTTCAGTTTTCTTGTTTTACTTTGACAGTGCAAGGGGAACTGAAAATAATTTCTATTATATTTATCTTAGTTCAGCTGAGGGTTTTATGAGACAGTGGATGGGAAGGGCAGGAAGACGGTGATGAGATAAAATATGTGTGTGTTGCACTGACTGTCTATAAAGTTGTCATCCTTTCTTCATGAAAAAGTAGCATTTAAATCTGGATGAGTTTATAAAGGATTACAAAATGCTGATTTCTAGAGTAAACTTTAAAGTATTACAGACTAAAGACTAAAAGGAGAGTAATGAAGTAATAGGCTGTCACTTCTCTAGATTTGTATTGTTGAAAATTTAACTTTGGACATCTTTACAGATTATTTTAGACCTTGAAAACTACCCTCAACTCTGTGGCTGCAGATAGAACATGAAGTGTCATTGCTACAACGGTTCTTACTTTCTAGATACTGTTCGTGTGTCATAATGTTTGAGGCTATATTTGTAAATCTTGCGAGTGTGAGAAAGAGCCGTATCTTTTGACTTTATACTTCAGATTAAGGTTTTGTAATGTCTCTTCTTCAAAAGGCAAGTGAAGCTGTCATCCTTATTCTCCTAGGCCAGACACAAACATTGACACGTCACGTTTTGTTTTTCTCTTACTGTTTGCTTACTTGTATGATGTAGCCTGTGTCCAGAGTTTTGACTAAGGGAATGATGGACCTGTTCCCACCTAGGGAACTTGAAGGAGTGTTTCATTAGCAGACTAATTAGGAAACATAGTGTCTAGAGAGAGAGAAAAAAGTCTCTGGTACCCTGAAAAGATTAGATTGCAATTTGTACCCCTGAATTGAGTTCAGGTTTTTACAGCTCAGACAAGAGCAAGCAGGTGGTTGCAACAGTTTGTGATGTTAGTACGACACTGTTGGTAGAATGTGGATGATTAATGTGTATAACTTACAATTTTTTAAATCAGGGAGTATTTTATAAAGTGCCAACCTTATGAAATATCCTAAATTCTACAGCTACCATTCATTCCTTTTTTCAGAATAAGCAGCAGGTAATGTTGACATTAAGCTCTTTAGCACGATACAAACACGTTTCATGTACAAATACAGACACTTTTCATGTACAAATACAGACACATTTCATGTACAAATACAGACACGTTTCATGTACAGGTATACATAGCCATGGTAAAGGCACAAAGATCTACAAGGATTTTTCTTTAGTAGTTATACAAAAGAATATTACATTTTGTGGTCTGTACAGTATAATAAACCAGCAATAGGGACAACAACAAAAAGAATCTGAGAAAGAAGACTATGCCTAAGTATAGTGAAAGTTTAGAGAATCATTTTTACACAAGACGGATTTTGCAGTAGTGAATGTGGTAGGTTTTCTGCCTAAATGTAAGAGGCTCAAAGTAGCTCTAATTCAAATGCCTGAGGCCAGCAGCGACTCTGAATGTGACTGTAAAAGGGTTTCTGGTCACCCTGTCGCTTGGGGTCGACTCTAAGTCTAGGGCTAAGGCCGATGGGAAGGGACCATCGCTCGTCAACCTGCAGCTTCATAAAGGGAAAATCAGAGAGGGCCGCGGCTCAGGGCACTGCATGTACGCTCTTGCGGTCACGCTTGACAATGTGGGAAAGCAAACTGCGTTTTCTCCCCATCTACCAAGTTCTCCTCGATGAATCAATAAAGGGAGAATGAATAAAGGGGCTCCCACCCGGAGAGATTCTGCTGCAGTGTCAGCAATGAGAGTCGGTGGTTTTGGGGGTGGGATGCTGTGGAAGGTTGTATTCAATGACAACAGAAGCTACACAACCAAACCTGAGGGGACAGAGGTAGCCAGAGGCTTGGTGGTCGACACAGAACGGGACAGACGGCAGCGAGATGGAACTAGAGACCCTGCCTCCTACCATGGCACGGGGCTGGCAGTCAGGCGGTCTGGGGCGCCGCTCCATCGCGGGGTGGCAGCAGCAGCCTCACAAGAGCTCGTACTGCTTGAGGTGCATCCGCTGGATGATGTCGCGGCAGTCGTTGAACACCCTGCGGATGTTCTCTGTGTCCACGGCGCAGGTGAAGTGCGGGTAGCAGTAATGTTTGCCTTCGCCGGTGGCCGTGCTGATCCTCTGCAAGAGAGAGCGTGTGCACTAGTCCTGCGCGGCCCCGGCACGCACCTCGGGGAAGAACTAGGCCACACTGAGCAGGTGCCGGAGGCTTTGGTGATGGTGGCCTGCTTGTTTCGCATGGGAGCACTTAGAGGCAGGAACCCTCTCAATGCAAGCATCAGCTGAGGACCCAGATAACCTTACCCTTATCACTGCCCCCAGGAGGCTGAAGCAGCACGGATAAGTCAGAGAAAGCCCCGGGCAGGCAAGTCAAGGGAGGAGCTTCCAGAAAGGAAGGTCTGAACAGAGTTTTCTGTGTCGATGGGAATGTCCTCTATCTGCCCTATCTAGTCACTATCTAGTTGATAGTCATGATCTAGCTGATACCACCGAGGGGCTGATTTCTAATTAGCTAATTTTATTTTATTTATTTATTTACATACTTTTGAGACTGAGTCTAGCTCTGTTGCCCAGGCTGGAGCGCAGTGGTGCAGTCTTGGCTCACTGCAACCTCCGCCTCCCAGGTTCAGGGGATTCCCCTGACTCAGCCTCCTGAGTGGCTGGGATTACAGGCATCCATCACCATGCCCACACCCGGCTAATTTTTGTATTTTTAGTAGAGACGGGGTGTCACCATGTTGGCCAGGCTGGTCTCAAACTCCTGACCTCAAGTGATCTGCCTGCCTCGGCCTCCCAAAGTGCTGGGATTACAGGCATGAGCCACTGTGCCCAGCCTAATTAGCTAGTTTGTTTGTTTTTTTGTTTGTTTGAGATGGAGTCTTGCTCTGTCTCCCAGGCTGGAGTGCAGTGGCGGCATCTTGGCTCACTGCAACCTCTACCTCCTGGATTCAAGCGATTCTCCTGCCTCAGCCTCCTGAGTAGCTGGGATTACAGGTGTGTGCCACCACACCTGGCCAATTTTTGTATTTTTAGTAGAGAAGGGGTTTCACCATGTTGGTCAGACTGGTCTGGAACGCCTGACCTCATGACCCGCCCGCCTTGGCCTCCCAAAGTGCTGGGATTACAGGTGTGAGCCACCACACTCTGCCAGCTAGTTTTAATTAAATGTCCATATTGTGCCCAGTGGTTCTGTATTGGACAGTGCAGCGGCCCCGTGGCCGCCTCCACACAGGGGCAGTTTAGCATCTGCTAAGCAGGGTGTCCCCTGGTTATCAGGGGAACGTTTGCTGCCTTCTGGGAGAAAAGTGATCTGTTGTCAAGTACCTGGGAAACAGGGTTAGACACTACGAGTCATGGTTTGTGGGGACACCTCAGTGATGTGCTCATGTGCACTGTGAAGCTAAGTGCTGGGGGTGTGGGGACAGGCTGTTACAGGCCGAACTGTGTTCCCCCGGCACTTCAGATGTGACTATATTTGGAGATAAGGCCTTTACAGAGGCAATTACGGTAAAATGAGGTCATTAGGGTGGGCCCTAATGCAGTATGGCTGGTGTCCTAGAGAGAAGAGGAAACCAGGAGGATGCAGCCGTGTGCAGAGGGAAGACCCTGTGAGACACAGGGAGAAGTCGGCCGCAAGCCAAGGGAGGGGCCTCTGAAGGGACCAACCCTGCCCACACCTTGATTTCAGACGTCTAGCCTCCAGAGCTGTGAGAAATACATTTCTGCTGTTTGACACTCAGCCTCTGGGGCACTTTGTTATGGCAGCCCAGGCAGACTTAGACAGAGGTCCTGTGGAAGCTCGCCTTCTTCCTTGGTGCCACGGGAATCCCTGGGCCTCCTCCTCATCCCCTCCACTCCTTTTTCGACAAGGCATCCTGGGAAACAGGCTTTAGACAGCTGCTCAGACCACGGAAAGGGTGTCCTGAAGATGTCCTGAGGTATGAAACTCCTCACGGGGGACAGACTTACTTTAGCAATAGTCAGGCTTCCCTCAAGCATTTAAAAGAAAAATGTATGGACACTGAAATGAGTAGGTTATATATCTTTTTAATCCCAAAGCACCAGGTGAGGTGTTTGGCACACACACAGTAAGTGTGTAGTGAATGAATGAAAAATGGGCTTTTGGCTGGGTGCAGTGGCTCACACCTGTAATCCCAGCACTTTGGGAGGTGGAGGCAGGAGGATCACTTGAGGCGAGGGAGTTCGAGACCAGCCTGGCCAACATAGCAAGGCTCTATCTCTATAAAATGTAAAAATTAGCCAGGTGTGGTGGTGTGTGCCTGTAGTCCCAGCTACTCAGGAGGCTGAGGCACGAGGGCTGCTTGAGCCCAGGAGTTGGAGGCTGCAGTGAGCTATGATCTTGCCACTGCACTCCAGGCAGCCTGGGTGACACTGCGAGGCAATGCCCCAAATAAACAAACCAAAAAAGGCTTTCTTCTGTAATAGTGTGACTATTTGTCCCTGTCTAGAGCCTTAAAATTAAGGGAATGGAGTCATTGCAAAGGGCGTTGCTTCAAATAGTTTTTTGAGATGGAGTGTTGCTGTCACCCAGGCTGGGGTGCAGTGGCATAATCATAGCTCACTGCCACCTCAAATTCCTGGGCTCAAGGAATCCTCCCACCTCAGCCTCCTGAGTAGCTGGGACTACATGCCTGTGCCACCATAGCCAGGAACGTTTTAAAATTTTCTGTAGACACGAGGTCTTGATATGTTGTCTAGCTGATCTCGAACTTCTGGCATCAGGTGATCCACCTGCCTTGGCCTCCCAAAGTGTTGGGATGACATGCATGAGCAACTGCATCCGGCCTGGATGTTTCTAATCTTCATTTAAATGCCCAACATATGCATGCTTAATTAACATTTAGTTCTCATTAGAAAACCATTTTTTTGTGTCTTTATATGTTATGGTCTTACAAAATGCTCCTTAAAATTAAGGGATTCCTTGATCTATTACAAACTAAATCTCCTTATTGAAGAGATTTGCAATGCACATTAATTGACCTTAAGTAAAGGCTCTGAGAATCTGACAGTCTCAGAGAGGCAGAGGAACCTCCCACGCTGTATTTAACACAGCACATCCCAGATTTATTCAGCTGCACAAGCTCTTCCGGTGCTGCCATGCACTTACGGCCATGCACGTCTGGGGGAACTCTTGTCCTCTGAACTCACCCTGGGGCCTTGATTTCTCTTCATTGTTACTTTCTAACTCACTGTAGGATTCAGGAGTCATCCCACAGGGGTAAAGGGGAAAAGGGCGGTGAAAGGCCAGGCTGGAGTGCCGGTCCCCATGGAAAGGCCTCAGAGCCGAGTATCAGCCCTAGTGCTCCCGGGGCTGAGACCTTGTCCACACATGTTAAGTGCGCCTGGACTACTACCGGGAACACGCTCTTGGGAATACCTTGGCATGTAATAGTTTGAAGCGAGTAAAAACTCACAGCTAGCTATCCACTGTAGGTTATTTCAAAGAAAATAATATAGATAAAGCATATGTGGCAAATTTTTGCCAGTTGGTCAGTTTGGGTAAAGAGTATATGGGAGTTTTTTTTGTTTGTTTGTTTTGTTTGAGACAGTCTCGCTCTGTCGGCCAGGCTGGAGTGCAGTGGTGTGATCTCGGCTCACTGCAACCTCTGCCTCCTGGCTTTAGGTGATTCTTCTGCCTCAGCCTCCAGAGTAGCTGGGATTACAGGCGCCCACCACTGTACCCAGCTAATTTTTTGTATTTTTAGTAGAGACGGGGTTTCACCATGTTGGCCAGGCTGGTCTCGAACTCCTGACCTCAGGTGATCTACCTGCCTCAGCCTCCCAAGTGCTGGGATTACAAGCGTGAGCCACTGCACCTGGTCTGAGTATATGGGAGTTATTTGTACAAATCTTCCGCCTCATATGTAAGTTTGAAATAATCTCAAAATTATCCCAAATATAATCTCAACTATATCTCAAAAATAATCTCAAAATCTCAAAAAGCTGAAGAAAAAGTATCTGAATTTGAGCACACCTGTTTTTACATAAACCATCAGCCTGTTAGTGCTTTTGGGTGGAGGAAGAGTATGGGCGCTTGGACTTTGCTGAAGGACGCTGTCCTTTTTGGAAAATACAAGAAGTGAATGAAGTGTAGCCCATCCAAGTACCATTCCCTGGGATGCTGTGTTCTCACCCGGGCTCTGCTGGTTGGAAGCTGTGTGACCTTGGGTGAGAAATCTAACCTCTCTGAACCTCGGTGTGCTCAGCTGTGAAATGAAAGTAACATACCCTTTCTCATCTCTCGTAATGTTAAGGAAGATTAAATCAAAGAGTAAGTAATCTGCATACTGCAAGAAACAAAAGATTAAGAATGGAGGTAAAAAAACAAAGGTTAACAAAATGGCTTACCAAAAACAGGTCCCGGATAAAGAACTTGGCTCTCGTAACTTTGGGATCTTCTCCTGCATCTGGTGTTGCTGTAGAAATGACAAATGCAACTTTACTTAAGCAACATGAAACAAAGATACAACTCTATGAAAACACAGAAGGAATTTCAACGTTGGACTGCTGTATATTCACAGCATTAAAATACATGTATAGTTAGACAAAAACAAACATGTACTTTTGTTTTCTTTCTTTTTTTTGGAGACGGAGTCTCATTCTCTCGCCCAGTGGTGTGATCTTGGCTCACTGCAACCTCCACCTCTCAGGTTCAAGCGATTCTCCCACCTTATCCTCCCCAGTAGCTGGGATTACAGGCACCCACCATCATGACCAGCTAGTTTTTTTTTTTTTGTTTGTTTGTTTGTTTTTGAGACGGAGTCTCGCTCTGTTGCCCAGGCTGGAGTGCAGTGGCCGGATCCCAGCTCACTGCAAGCTCCGCCTCCCGGGTTTATGCTATTCTCCTGCCTCAGCCTCCCAAGTAGCTGGGACTACAGGCGCCGCCACCTCGCCCGGCTAGCTTTTTGTATTTTTTAGTAGAGACGGGGTTTCACTGTGTTAGCCAGGATGGTCTCGATCTCCTGACCTCATGTTCTGCCCGTCTCGGCCTCCCAAAGTGCTGGGATTACAGGCTTGAGCCACCGCGCCCGGCCCAGAATTGTTTTAAATCAAGTGAATTTCTTAGATTCATCAGAAGTATGTGAATTAGAGTTACAGGACTATTAATAAAACAATTCTATTCCTCAATCATAAGAATGTGTTTTGAAATCTTACCGTCTTCAGGAACGGTATAATTTGCATATTCTGGGAAATAGTCTTCAATTTTTGATTTCCCTGCCAAGACTTTTTCTGCCAGCATATCTTGTTTGTTCAAGAACAAGATGATAGAAATGGTCCGTAACCACCTGAAAAAGGAAAAATAAACGAACACAGTTCACATACACTAGTATATGAAAGCGCCTCTAACATAGAAGTTGCTAAATTAAAAGAATACCATCATCCTCCTAAAATTGTATAGGATTCAAGAAAGTTCAGTACACCAGTATCCTCATTCCATCTGTAAACAATGATAAACAAATATAGGTACAGGTTGAGCAGCCCTCATCCAAAAACACAAAATCCGAAATACTTCAAAATCCAAAACTTTTTCAGCACTGACATGATGCTCAAAAAACAAGAGCACAGTATTTTAAAATCTGTTTTTTCCTATAAGACTGTGGTCATTTTCCCACTTACACATATAGTGTATATAAATAAATTTATAATAACTCTATAGTATCCTTCTGTATACCTGGCATTTCCTGGCCCTGTTTCTTTCCTATTAACTGTCTTATTACCACACATTTGAGGCTGGTTGTTGAACATTTCATAGAAAATCATTTTTCTGAGAATCCAAAACTTTACAAGGTAAACTTAGTTTCCTGTCCTCCTTGGTAATATTTCTTCCTAAATACTTCAGAAGAAACTTTGATTTCTAACTATATATGTATGTATTATGTGTGTGCGCTAAATATTCCTTTCTGAAATAATCACTTATGCCACTTTGCAATGCTACTAGTTTCAAATATAATTAGGTGGTGATTGTGAGCTGTAAGGGATCTTACAGATCATCTAGTCATTAGTGGATGTCCTAAACTGGTACTTTATTTATTTTTAAATGTAAACATTTTCGTTTTATTTTTTGAGATGGAGTCTCACTCTGTTGCCCAGGCTGGAGTGCAGTGGTGCAATCTCAGCTCACCACAACCTCCACCTCCCGGGTTCAAGTGATTCTCATGCCTCAGCCTCCTGAGTAGCTGGGACTACAGGCGCCCACCACCACGCCTGGCTAATTTTTGTATTTTCAGTAGAGACGGGGTTTTGCCATTTTGGTCAGGTTGGTCTCGAACTCCTGATCTCAGGTGATCCTCCTGCCTTGGCCTCCCAAAGTGCTGGGATTACAGGTATGAGCCACTGTTCCTGGCCCCTAAACTGGTACTTCCTAAATTTTAAAAACCAAACAAAACCTATTTCGAACCCTAGATATAGAATCGTCCCTTGATACCCATGGGAGATTGGTCTACGACTCCCTGTGAAAACCAAAATCTGAGGAGGCTCCCTTGTATGAAATGGTGTAGTATTTGCATATAACCCATGCACACCCTCCCATGTGCTTAAATCATCTCCACATTACCTATCATACCTATCACAATGTAAAAGCTGGCGAGTACTTGTTATACTGTATTGCTCATTTGTATTATTATTTTTTAGTCCAATTTTTTTTCCTTGCTCAATTTTTTATTTTAATTAATTAATTAAGTTTTTTGAGACGGAGTCTCCCTCTGTTGCCCAGACTGAAGTGCAGTGATATGATCTCAGCTCACTGTAACCTCCGCCTCCTGGGCTCAAGTGATCCTCCTGCCTCAGCTTCCCAAGTAGCTGGGACTACAAGTGTGCCCCACCACGCCTGATGAATTTTTGTATTTTTTGTAGAGACGGGGTTTCAACATGTTGCCCAGGCTGGTCTCCAGCTCCTGAGCTCAAGCAATTCCCCTGTCTCAGCCTCCCAAAGTGCTGGGATTACAGGTGTAAGCCACTGTAATCTTGTATTATTTTTTGTTGTTGTATTGCTATCTTAAATTTATTTTTGAATATTTTCAATCTGTGGTTGGTTGAATCTGCAGATATGGAACCTGAAGATATGGAAGGCTGAATGTAATCTTAGGCTTTCAAAACAGAGACCTAAATTTTCTTGACAAAGCACTATCAGAACTTCATCAAAGAATACTCCACACTGGCCGGGCGCGGTGGCTCACGCCTGTAATCCCAGCACTTTGGGAGGCCGAGGTGGGCGGATCACGAGGTCAGGAGATCAAGACCATCCTGGCTAACATGGTAAAACCCCGCCTCTACTAAAAATACAAAAAATTAGCCGGGCGTGGTGGCAGGTGCCTGTAGTCCCAGCAACTGGGGAGGCTGAGGCAGGAGAATGGCGTGAACCCGGGAGGTGGAACTTGCAGTGGGCTGAGAAAGCGCCACTGCACTCCAGCCTGGGCGACACAGCGAGACTCAGTCTCAAAATAAAATAAAAAAAATAATAATAAAATAAAATAAAATAAAATACTCCACATTTTTAGTATGTCTATACAATAGATGAACTAAAAGAGATATTTCATACAGTTCTGGATTTATTTAGTAAAGAGTGTGTGTGGGGGGTGTGGGTGTAGGTGTGTGTGTGTTTTGAGACCGGGTCTTGCTGTGTTGCCCAGGCAGGAGTGCAGTAGTGTGATCTCAGTTCACTGCAACCCTCACCTCCTGGGCTCAACCGATCCTCCTACCTCAAGCTCCTGAGTAGCTGGGACTACAGGTGTGCACCACCACGCCTGGCTAATCTTTGTATTTTTTGTAGAGACAGGGTTTCTTCATGTTGCCCAGGTTGGTTTCCAACTCCTGAGCTCAAGTGACACACCTGCCTCGGCCTCCCAGTGTTGAGATTACAGGTGTGAGCCGCAACACCTGGCCTGAGCGTATTTTTAACAAAAGAAAATTTGCAATCCAGTGGTGAGACTGAATTTGTTATTTTTGTCACCTGTTGTTCCAGATGCTTTCAAAAAGATCGAGGGACTCTCTCAGCCTGTTGGTGTTATTATCTTCTCGAATCACCATGTTGTAGCTACTGCAGGCTGCGACGTAAATGATAGCCGTGACATCTTGGTGGGGAGAAAAAGGAAAGCACCTCAGTTAGACACCCTCGCTGTGGAGCTGCAAGAAAGTACACACACAGCAGCCACTCAGTTCCACAAAAACATTCACTCAGTGATAGGACTATTCAGTCACAGAACAGCCTGCACGTGCGCCGTGCGCACCACTGGTTGCTTCAGTAACGCACTTGATGAAGAGCCCAGCCCAAAAGACGCACGTAAATTTGGGATGCTTAAATGCTTTTTTTTTTTTTTTTTTTTTTTTTTGAGATGGAGTTTCACTCTTGTCTCCCAGGCTGGAGTGCAATGGCATGATCTTGGCTCACTGCAACTTCTGCCTCCCAGGTTCAAGTGATTCTCCTGCCTCAGCCTCCCTAGTAGCTACGATTACAGGCATGTGTCACCATGCCTGGCTAATTTTTGTATTTTTTTCTGAGACAGAGTTTCACTCTTGTTGCCCAGGCTGGAGTACAATGGCACAATCTTGGCTCACTGCAACCTCCGCCTCCTGGGTTCAGGCGATTCTCCTGCCTCAGCCTCCCGAGTAGCTGGGATTACAGGCGTGCACGACAACACCTGGCTAATTTTTGCATTTTTAGTAGAGACGGGGTTTCACCATGTTGGTCAGGCTGGTCTTGAACTCCTGACCTCAGGTGATCCACCCACCCTAGCCTCCCAAAATGCTGGGATTACAGGCATGAGCCACCACACCTGGCTAATTTTTGTATTTTTAATAGAGCTCTGGTTTCTCCACATTGGCCAGGCTGGTCTCGAACTCCTGACTTCAGCTTATCCACCCTCCTTGGCCTCCCAAGGTGCTGGGATTACAGGCATGAGCCATGGCGCCTGGCCCTTAAATGCTTTTTTAAATGAGATTAGTATCTAAGGAAGGAGCATCATAATCTATAAAATGCTATGCTTTACATACTAGTTAGAGATCATCTAATTCAAAAACAGTTAAGCACAGCAATGCTGAGTGTTAGAATTCACTCCCATTTTCTTGAGAGAGCATAAAAAAAATCACCATTAAAGCACTGGATCCATTTTCTCCTCTCATCCCTCTGGCCGCCAACATCAAACATGCTGTGGAAGAGCAAGAGGAACACAATTATTTGGGGAAAGCAGGGAACAACCGCACACGTGCTTGCTTTCCTCTTTGGCTATCAGCAGCTTCCAGCGTTCACACATGGGTCTTGAGTCAGGCTCGGGTCACTGGCTGGCCTGCACCATCACTCCCTGTGTGATCCTGGAATACAAGTGGCTCCACCTCTCTCAGCCGCAGTCCCTCCTCAGTCACCCCACAGTGGGGCTACAGGGGTAAGAGATGGAGCAGACAGCAGCCGGCAGTGTCTGAGGTCCCACAGTAGGTCCTTAATAAATCCAGTGGTCACTAGCTCAGTAATGCAAGAGGTTACTTGCTCAGACACTCATGCCTCTCTGAGTATGAGCTAAGTGCCCAGGGCAGATCTTTCCTATGATTTGCTCCAGCTCTTGGGACACTGTGTCCCCTCCCCTGGAGAATTGAGAAAGGCTCCTTGCTGATCTGTCTACACTACATGCATCTTATCTCTAGCCACCTCTGCCTGGTGACCTGCACTGGGTCTGGATCACGCCTGGATTCAGTTCAGGCTGCTCTGCCCAGCCCGAGCTGCTTCCTGGTCTTGCCCAGCCAAGGCGGCCTCAGCCAGTTCTCTCAGAGTTTCTCAGCTGCATCCTGCACGTCATCAGCCCAGGCCCAGGCCCCTCTTCTCACAGCCCCTGCTCACCGCACCCTGTGGCCTAAGCCATTTCTCCCTGGGAGAGTTTCTCTACCTACCCAGATTCTGCTGGATCCTTCCAACCTTTGCAGGCGTCCCTGGCTCTGAGATTTCTCCCCTCCCTAAACACAGTGCATGTGCCCTAGGACCACACGGGCTAGTCTGTTTTGTCCTGGGTGGGTATGTTGCTGATCCTATTAGAATTTAATCTGTACGCTTTGCATTAGCACACGTGGGGCACGCTGAGGTACTTGATGAAAATGGATGAGCTGATGAGCAGAATCCTTTCAAACAAAATCACGAATGTGAGATACAGCTTCACTGTTAATAATTCCACTATGCCAGGGACGTGGTTCTGATGTGGGCAAAACCGCACGTCATGCCAACTCCACACCGCACTGTGCGCCTCACAGCAGAGACGGACGTAGCGGCTTTTCTCCAGCCTGACACTGGCCGTGTGAATGGTTCTTGGGAAATCTGGAAGTAGGTGCCTGTGACCTGTGCACTGGGGAGAGCGTCGGGCACTGCAGGAGTCTCAGAACACATTGAAAATCATGAAACTCTTGCTCTAAGGGACCTCACCCTTGAGGTCCCTTAGAGTCGAGTTGGACATGCTGAGGGTGACTGGGCAAGGTATAGGGCAGAATACCATCACTGGCTGCATAGTAGATGCAATGGGAATTCTAAGGGGTCACCATGGGCTGAGATTTGAGGGATGCTTGGATGCTTCTTTTTTTTTTTTTTTTAGAGACACCCAGACTGGAGTGAAATGGCCTAATCATGGCCCACTGCTGCCTTGAATTCCTGGTCTTACGAGATCCTCCCACCTCAGCCTCCTGAGTAGCTAGGACCACAGGTGTACGCCATCAAGCTTGGCTAATTTTTTTTTTTTGGTAGAGACAGATTCTCGCTATGTTGCCCAGGCTGGTCTTGAACACCTGGTCTCAAGCAATCCTACTGCCTTGGCCTCCCAAAGTGCTGAGATGACAGGCATGAGCCACTATGCCTGGCCTGAAGGAAGCTTTGATAGATTTGTGGGGTTTGCTTAGCCCAGGTGGCATCTGAGGCTCAGAGGACAAGATGAATAGAGGCATGGCGGCAGGAAAAGCTGGGAGAACTGGAAGGGTCCTCACAGCAGCCCAGCCTGGTGAGGCAGGTGGCAGGTGACAAAGCAGGGCTGGGGATGGGGCTGGTCACAGGTGGAGGGCTTGGGTCATAGGGTGCACAGGCAGTAGTGAGCCCCGAACCTTTTTCAGCAGAGGAATAGCACGATCCAGGCCATGCTATGGAAAGATTCATTTCGTGGCACTGAGTAGGGCGACTGAAATGGGTAAGCCAGGGGACAGGAGACCAGCCAGGGCCCTGCTGAGAGAGTCTAGGGGCTGGGGAAGTGATGGAGCAGGACTAGGGTCACAGCTATGGGGACAAAAAGAGCTTTGTGGCCGGAGAATTAACGTCTTATCATGAGGGAGAGAAATGAAGAAAGTAAGCTCATTTGGCCAAGTTTGCACTTGGGCAACCCAAGAGATGGGCTGGAGACACACATGAACTGCTCATTTCAGTTCTCAAACTGGGACTGTGCATCTGGAAGATCAAAATTTCATGAGTCTCCTGATCTAAAAAAAGAGCCAATCAAATCTACAACTGAGGCAGACACTGCCTTCCTTTCCGGTGTCCTCATTTCTGCTTTAAAGTAGGCAGTAAAATCAACACTTCAAGTCTTGCTAGAGTTAGAATTTCACCCCAGCTGCCCTTACCTGAAAGGGCAGCCATGCACATTCAGGAATGAAGCCCCTTAAACCTCACAACCCTTCGGCTCTGGGACTTCATGAGGCCCTGGGCCACGCGGCTCTTAACGACATACTCACTGAAAGTTCACTTTGTCCACTTGGAATCGTGTCTCAAAAATCCCAGATGTCAGAACTCTGCATCTGAGGAGGTCCTGGGAACAAGAAGAGGGAAGCAAGCTGGGTTACATGACTGTTCTTCTTCAAAGTAAAGCCCGGGTATAACTATACATCAGCAATATTTTTCAAATAATTTGTTCCACTGTACAGGAAACAATAATAATTAAGAACTAAAATTGGCTAAGCGTGGTGACTCATACCCGTAATCCCAGCACTTTGGGAGACTGAGGCAGGCAGATCACCTGAGGTCAGGAGTTTGAGACCAGCCTGGCCAACATGGTGAAACCCTATCTCTACTAAAAATACGAAAAAACAAATTAGCCAGGTGTGGTCACAGGCACCTGTAATCCCAGCTACTTGGGAAGCTGAGGCAGGAGAATCGCTTGAACCTGGGAGGCAGAGGTTGCAGGGAGCTGAGATCGTGCCATTGCATTCCAGCCTGGGTGACAAGTGAGACTCCGTCTCAAAAAAAAAAAAAAAAAAAAAAAGAACTCAGACGAATGTTGGTTTGGCCCTGAGAGACCTGATAACTGTCTATTTGTTTTAAAACTTAAAAAAACTCATGTCTCAAAGAATCTTACTGACATATACCTGACAACCACAGTCAGGGCATCAGCATTCCAGAGGGACCCCCCTGCCAGTGCTCTGTTGGCTTGGGTGAGACTCACGATGGCTTGGGTGAGAAACCAAAGGAAGTGTAACTCTGCACTCAGAAGTCTTCAGCCTTATGAACTGGATGCTAGTTGATTTCATTTATTCTCTCTTCCCTGCACATTTCTATTTCCTCCAAGGTAAAAGATGTGGTACCCCGAGGGGACGAGAAAGCCATGCAGCCTCGCAAAGCTGGCATCCCTGGCACATTTGGCAGATGTCAGGGTTTTTTTTTTTTTTTCTGACCACCAAATCCATGTGCTTTTAAGGAAGCAGCCACTCTGTAATAATTCTGGAACATGGGAGGTGGTCCTCCCATTTTAGTATAATGAGAACTGTTTAGGACAGGTGAGTTAGTTGAGGGACTGACTCAAGACGAGGAAGCCTCCATTGCTTTGTCAGATAATTTCAAACTCTCAGGATCAGCCTGAGAGAGAGAAACTTTATGGGAGAGACAGAAGCTCAGGCCTCAGACTTTCCACCTTGGGGGCCCAGGGCCAAGGCCTTGCAGGGAATACAGACTCTGGGGGAAGTTTGGAGAGTGTGGTTTGAACAGAGAGACTCCTCTAACTTCCTTGGGGTTCACTGGCTCTAGAAGCACCTGAAGGCTCCTGAATTGATCAATCCAGGGGCTCTCCAAGTCTCTGCAGCTGCCTGAGGGTCGAAGGGGCACGATTCCCTCTCTGCTATTTAAAAATTGGTGGAGTGGGCTGGGCACAGTGGCTCACGCCTATAATCCCAGCACTTTGGGAGGCCAAGGCAGGTGGGTCACTTGAGGTCAGGAGTTTGAGACTAGTCTGGCCAACATGGCAAAACCCTGTCTCCACTGAAAATACAAAAATTAGCTGGGCGAGGTGGCAGGTACCTGTAATCCCAGCTACTTGGGTGGCTGAGGCAGGAGAATAGCTTGAACCTGGGAGGCGGAGGTTGCAGTGAGCAGAGATTGCGCCATTGCACTCCAGCCTGGGTGACAGAGCAAGACTCCATCTCAAAAAGACGAAAAAAAAAAAAAAAGGTGGAGTGCTTTTTTCTGACTCAACCCAAAGGGGATGCTCTGGGTCACACCTGGAAAGTTCGCTGTGATACGGGACTCCCCAGGCCCGGGGCCCAAACAGAATGGGCATAGTTTATGAAACCAGGAAGCAAAGACTTTGCTTGCCTGAGGACAGCTCCAGGAGGAACAGGAGCAGCATGTTCCTTGTCTGCAGATACACTCATTTGCATACTGGCAATTTTCATAACCACTTAAGTGCCAGAGTCAGGGGAGCAAGGCACAAGGTTTGATGACCAATCCATGCACACACCCAGGGCAGTACAAACGATGTGCAAAAAGTAGGTATCTGAGGGATTTTTCCTTAATCCATTCTGAAATAATCGTTAAATCATATTGGAAATGAATCTCACAGTTTCTGGTGCGCGGTGGGGGACCCTAATTCCACATACCTGGTCTGTGGGTGTGTAGTCAACCAAGCTGACGCTGTCGATTCTTTCCAGGAAGCTGCAAAGAAAGCCAGCAAGGGTTGAGGCCTGTTCTCAGGTCACTTTTTCCTGGGGTTGGGGGGAAATTAATGGGACATTTCACCCAAGTACGGCAAGGATGGGGCAGGCCAAGAAGCTGACGTGAGTTCTTACTTTGTTTCCTGAATTTGTATCAGTCTAGATAATGCAACATTCTTGGCCCAGGGACGGAGAACTGCATTCTTCTTTTTTTTTTTTTTTTAATGTTGCCTTCTCTCCCCTCTTCTCCGCTGCCACAGGGCTGGGGGTGGGGCTACTCAGAAACTGGGAGACAGCCTGGAACCTCCTTCCAAGGCTAAGTATAAGAACGTGTTGCAATGTAAGCAAAACATGGAAGGTGACAGATGTTCCTTTAGTGTAGGTTCCTAATCAAATACAGAAGTTGTGTGTGTGTGTGTGTATGACTGTGTGAATATGTGTAAGAGTGACTGAGTGTGGAGAGCGATTATGTGGTGTGCGAGAGGAAATGTGTAAAAGTGAGTGTAAGGGTGTGAGAGTATGTGTGGAAAGTGTGCGAGAGCAAGAATGTGAGTGTGTGTGTGTGTGTGTGTGTGTGTGTGTGCCGGCAAACCCGGCGACGCCTGTGGGTGTCAGATCTGCCCGGCGCCCTCTGTGTCCCACACAAGGCAGGGCGAGAGCCTAGGAAAGCTGTGCACCGCTCTGGGGTGATGACCCTCTTCCAGGCCGTGTCTCCAGCTCTTCCGCTGGGAGGCCGCCGAGCTCCCTCTCCCGAGTGACCATGGCCCCTGCACAGGCCTCCCCCGCCCTCTCTGTGTCAGCCTGGCTTTACCAAGGCATCTATCCAGGCTGCACGTTTCCCACTGAGTCTTGGTCGATCTGTTGTTATTTGTCTCCTCCACTAACATGCGAGGCCCTCAGGGCAGGTTTCTGTCGTGTCCACCTGGGAGTCCCCAGCACCTAGTGCCGGCCCGGCCCCAGTAAATATGGTGGAATGAACCAGTGTCCTCTGTCCCCTTCTCCTTCCGCGGTTGGGACAGGTGACCATCGAGCGCTGAGAGGCTGGGCCTCCTGGGGACGAACAAGCGTTGGGGATGGGTTAACTGGCGAGCAGAGGACAATTCTGGAGACAGGGGCAGCAGGGGCTCTAGAAGGAAGAAGGAGAGCGAGCAGGAGGGAGGGGATGGGGCGGTCCAGGCTCTCTGTTGGCGCTGGCGTTGATGGGAGGCCCTGGTACTGAGGAGCTAGGATGGATGGCCTGGAGGCTGTGCTGGCTCGCTGCCTGCCATGCCAGTTGGCTGGCTCTGTGTCTGGGTAGGTGGAAGCAGCAGCCATGTGCCCATGAGCGTTTCACGCAGCGGAGGGGATGCTGCCTCCCCACCTCCCCATCCTCCTGCACCAGCTCCTCTGCAGGTGCCTGTGAACCTCAGTGTGGGCAAGAGGGAGACGAAAGGGTTCAGAACGCAGAACGCCACCCCAAAATGTGCCCTTCGGCATGTTGACTAACTGCAGCTGAGGGCACTTGGGAAGCCTCGGATGCAGGGCCGGCGGGCTGACCTCCCGCTCTGTCCCAAACAGTGGGTCAGGAAATTTCCCGTAAGAAACGTCTGCCCTGGGCCAGGAAGAGGAGAATGTTTGTATCACCGGGGGTTGGGAGTCCACCCCGAACCGGATCTGTACAAACCCACCAAAATAACCCTCGTCTTTCATTAGTCACTGCCCCCCAATGACTGCCCCTAGAAACCTGAACCTTTCTCCTTTGTCACTTCTCCATACGTTTATCATCTTTTGTTACAAGGGTGTATTAGCTCTCAGTCCCGACGGCTTCTTTGGGTCTTCATTTTTCTTATGAAAGTTCCCGTGTGCGTGTAAAAATGTTAAATAGAACGTGTGTGCTTTCCTCCGGTCGATCCGTCTTTGTTGGTTCACTCAGGTTCCCGTGTGCGTGTAAAAATGTTAAATAGAATGTGTGTGCTTCCTCCGGTCGATCCGTCTTTGTTGGTTCACTCAGGTTCCCGTGTGCGTGTAAAAATGTTAAATAGAATGTGTGTGCTTCCTCCGGTCGATCCGTCTTTGTTGGTTCACTCAGGTTCCCGTGTGCGTGTAAAAATGTTAAATAGAATGTGTGTGCTTCCTCGGTCGATCCGTCTTTGTTGGTTCACTCAGGTTCCCGTGTGCGTGTAAAAATGTTAAATAGAATGTGTGTGCTTCCTCCGGTCGATCCGTCTTTGTTGGTTCACTCAGCTACAGAACCTAATAGGAAAGAGGGAAGTTCTTTTTCCTTCCCTACAGAGGTCAAAAGGGGTCCATTTTAGGAACGACTTGGCCAAAGACAGTAAGACTGCGTCATTTCCTTGGCCATTGTAACTCCTTCCTTTTGGAAAGCTAGAGACAGTCCCTAGTGGCCAGAACTGAGGCCTGGCCATGAGATGACATTTTGGCAGCCTTCATCCATGAACCTGGGTTTGACACCCCCAGGGCAAGTAACCCAGAAGCAGAATACACAAAGGGCAGGAGTGGATCTGCTGGTGTTTGGGATGGCCTTTCATAGGGATAGGAAGCAGTGGGGGCAACTGTGACCTCAACTGTCATGAATGAGTCATTTCCCTGGAATCCAAGGGAAACAGGTTACGGGAGTGGTGTCTGTGACCGCATTGTCTGGTGTGCAGTCATGAAAGAATGTCGGCCGGGTGCAGTGGCTCATACCTTTAATCCCAGCACTTTGGGAGGCCAAGGTGGGTGGATCGCCTGCAGTCACGAGTTCAAGACCAACCTGGTCAACATTGTGAAACCCTGTCTCTACTAAAAATACAAAAAGTAGCCACGTATGGTGGTGTGCGCCTGTAATCCCAGCTAGTTGGGAGGCTGAGGCAGGAGGATCACTTGAACCCAGGAGGCAGAGGTTGTAGTGAGCTGAGATCACGTCACTGCACTCCAGCCTGGGCGATAGAGTGAGACTCTGCCTCAAAAAAAAAAAAAAAATATATATATATATTTATTTATATATATATATATATATATATATATATATATATATATATAAATAAATAAAAAAAGAATGTCAACTGCTTCCGGCTCTGCAGAGATATGGCCAGGTGACAGGGTTATTGAGAGGCCAAAGGGACCCTGATCAGCCAGTGGTGTCTTTGGAATAGGTGCTGCAAGCCCTGGGAGGTGCTACTGCGCACGTGAAGGTTGGTGAGTTGGCCAAGGGTGTGGAACTGGCTCCAGAGGGGAAGGAGTAAAGGGAAGGGACCCTCTGGGACCTGGAGAACCTTGGGAGGCTGGAGGCAGGAATTCCCTGCCATTGCCTGAGGCCTGGTTTGGAAAGTGCAATGCAGTTTTGGCATGGTGGTTGCTGGCCTGGAATGTGGTGGGGTGAAGAGCACAGTGGAAGGACACACTGAGTTCCTGACCATCCAGTGACAAAGGAGCAAAAAGACCTTGGAATCCGTGAGAAGGCAGAAGAAGTTTCTGCCAGGGTGGGACGGGAGCTCTGGACTGCGGCTGGACATTCAGGTGGGTTTCTGGGTGGGAAGCCTGCCTCCCTCACAGGCCGTGTGAGCTACAACAGTTCTAGTCAGAAATGGTCATGACTTTTGACAGGGGCCGGGGTAAGGACACAGAAATGAATTCGCTCTGATGAAAAAAAGAGCTGGAAGGAACTGAACATTAAATATGAAGCCTGTGGCTATAGTTAGAGTTTAGGAAGTAATCTATTTAAAATGGGATGCACATAGGTTGGAGGTAGGTGGGTGAATGTATTCAGATGATAATAACTAGTCTAAGTAGAAAGAATGAAGTATGGTTAACCAAAAAATGCCTGTGGAGTGCTAGAGAGATGTGATGAGAGGACGTGTGAGTGCATCTTCCTGTGCACTACGAAAGACCAGTGACGTTGAGATGCTGACAGTGATGAGCATGGTGGGTCTTCTCCTGTCCCCAGCCTCCAAGATGGATACTCAGAGTCCTTCCAGCTCTGATTCTCAGAGATCTGAGACGTGGGAGGTCTCACTGAACATTTCCAAGAGCTGCTTCTGAATTGTTACTGATGCCCTGAGTTCATGCATTTCAAGTTTGTGCAATGAAAGTAAAATGTGAAAATGCACCCCAAAATGTGAATATGCCCCCAATTCTTTGAAAGAGTTTCTAAGGAATAAATAATAGAGTGGTAGATTTCTGCCAGCCTTCTGCCTTGATCCTTGTTTCAACTGGCATATTTCCAAGCATGTTGCAGAAGTACTTTTTCAAATTGGGGCTTCTGTGATTACCATACGTAAAGAGAATTTTAAAGGGATCTTCCAAATCATACATAGAATTTCGCATATGACTACATTTTAAAGGGTTATAACATTGCCTCCTTAAATACGCCACTGCATGCTGACCGGAAGAATTAAGCAGATCTAAAAACCCCTTGCAGACTATTCACTCCAACATTAGATACAGAGTTGCAAAACTATACCAAATTAGCATTGTAAAAAATCACTTGCATTGTAGACACTATAAGAAAGTAGTTAAAAAGAAATTTACTTTGATTTTTTTTCATTATTTCCTGTGACAGCTGAGGACACTCATATTTGCAGAAATGTTTTCATTTTCATTTAGATCCCCCTTGTTTGATATTAGCAAAAATAACAACTCACTGTTTATATCCCATCTGTTGTTGGCGTCAAAGAATTCTTAATGGCCATGGAATTGATCATGAAGAGGGAACAAGGAGAGTCACCAAAAGATGAAAACTATTCTATTCAATGCCTTTGTAATTAAACTACTGGGTCTGAGAAAAGAAGTACCAACTAAATTTCCATGTATTTAAAATTACTTTTTTTGTGAAAACATATAGCAATTGGAAATCTGTCAAGGAAAGTAAAAAACTTTTCCCAGTGTTAATGAAATTTGATTCATGATATTTATCTACAAGATATAAATATACAGATGGATCCCAGGTACTCCGGAGGCTAAGGCAGCAGGATCACTGGAGCCCAGGAGTTCATACTGGTGGAGAAATGACTCACATGGTGACAAAGTACCAGGCAGTTGTAATGCACAGCCAGAGTTAAGATCCCTGCTCCTTAAAAGGGGTTCCCAGACTCACGGCATATCAGCGTCACTGGCAGACCCACTGCGTCAGCATGTGCAGCTGAGCCACGTCCCAGGTGATCAGCGATTCTTGGTGAGTCGTCATCCAAGAGCGTGTTCCTCCTGGCTTTCCCCGCCTCCCAGCTTTATGCTCTAATCTCTGCCTGAACCATTCTTCTCATGACTCCTGCTCTTTCTCCTTCCCACAGGGTAAAGTCCACACTTTTTTTTTTTTTTTGAGACAGAGTCTCGCTCTGTCGCCCAGGCTGGAGTGCAGTGGCGGGATCTCAGCTCACTGCAAGCTCCGCCTCCCGGGTTCACGCCATTCTCCTGCCTCAGCCTCCCGAGTAGCTGGGACTACAGGCGCCGCCACCACGCCCGGCTCGTTTTTTGTATTTTTTTTTAGTAGAGACGGGGTTTCACCGTGTTAGACAGGATGGTCTCGATCTCCTGACCTCGTGATCCGCCCGTCTCGGCCTCCCAAAGTGCTGGGATTACAGGCTTGAGCCACCGCGCCCGGCAAGTCCACACTTTTAATCTGGCCTCGAGCCCTTTGCAGTCTGTCCAGTGTCCCCTTCAGTCTCTTCTACGTCACATGAACCCTCCACTCCAGTCAAAACTCCCTGTAGATTTTGGCCTCTCAGATCCCATGTCATCCCTGCTTTCTCCCCCCTATTTGAAACCTGAGATTAAACCCTGCCCGCTCTGGGAAGCCACTTCTAACTGCCATGACACAGCACAACGTCGGCCTCACTTTCTTCTGGCACTTACTGTCTCACAATTCCATGAGCTTGGCATGCTGCCTTATGCTGTGATTTAATCCTTTTTAAAGGTTGAGATATAAAATAACGTAAAGGATGTAAACAGTCCTGATCTTAAGTGTTCTTGATTTTTTTTTAAACATCTGGATATGCCTTGTCCATTTTTCTTTTTCTGTGTATGTTTTATCTACCTATCTGTACTGAATATCATTTAAGGGCAAAAGCATGTTCTAATTTCTAGAAAGAAGCCCCACATGGCCAGCATGTTTTGTACTGAATCTTTCTCTGCACTGTCATTTAAAATGTTTTTAAATTTAAAAAATTGTTTTTATTTTTTTGAGACAGTCTCACGCTGTCACCCAGGCTGGAGTGCAGCTATAATTTGCTATAAGTATCTTGCTTTGGACTTTGGCTACAGAATTGCCAAGAGGATGTTGTGTTTTTGCAGAGGAAGTCCCTCCCTTCTACTTTATAATGTGCTTGGCCAGCTGATGCTGATACTATGCTCAGTTAATAAGGTTATCTTATCAGACTGGTACTTATTTTCAGCAGTCTTTTTTTTTTGAGATGGAATTTCGCTCTTGTTGCCCAGGCCGGACAGGCTGGAGTGCAACGGCGCGATCTCGGCTCACTGCAACCTCTGTCTCCTGGGTTTAAGCGATTCTCCTGCCTCAGCCTCCCAAGTAGCTGGGATTACAGGCATGCGCCACCATGTCCGGCTAATTTTGTATTTTTAGTAGAGATGCGGTTTCTTCATGTTGGTCAGGCTGGTCTTGAACTCCCGACCTCAGGTGATTTGCCTGCCTTGGCCTCCCAAAGTGCTGGGATTACAGGCGTGAGCCACTGCACCCGGCCCAGCAGTCTTTTCCAAATCAAAGACAGCAGGGCAGGCACACAGTGTCCAAGCCTCATGGTCTGCCTGTATTTAAAAGGCATATACATTGGCATTCCTTCAGCAAGAAACAGCTTTAGTAAGAAAATTCTCCAGTAGCACACACAGTATCATCTGGGTTCCTGAGCTGAAATAAACTAAAAGTAAAGTATTTTGTGTATTAATCCAGTCTACTTTTTTTCTTTCAATTCTAAATCCATGTTAGAAATTGTGCATTTGAAGGCGGAAAAATGAAAGGAAGAAATATAACTAGTAGTTAAATGGAAGATTAACTAGTTCCCTGATGTGTTTCAGTTGGATACTTTTGTAAATTATATCCATCTTTGGCGTAGGGAAGTTTCAATGTGAAAAAGAATATTGTGGCCATGAAGAAACAATTATGGTGAAGAAGCCAGGGGGCCAGGCACACGGTGGCTCCCGCCTGTAATCCCAGCACTTTGAGAGGCCAAGGCAGGTGGATCACTTAAGGATCAGGAGTCCCAGACAAGCCTGGCCAACATGGTGAAACCCCGACTCTACTGAAGAAAAAAAAAAAAATTAGCCAGGTGTGTTGGTGCGCATCTGTAGTCCCAGCTACTTGGGGGCTGAGGCAGGAGGATCGCTTGAACCTGGGAGGTGGAGGCCACAGTGAGCCGAGATCGTGGTGGCACTCCAGCCTGGGCGACAGAGCGAGACTCCGTCTCAAAACAGCAACAAAAATAAGCCAGGGATCCTAGAAATACACGAGAAAAAGCCATACTAACCAAACAAAAATTTAAGTGGTAAGACTGAGGGTGAATTTGGAAAAATACCATGCTTTCTGAACCAAATCTACCTCAGAATTTTTTTTTTCTCTTTTTGAGACAGAGTTTCACTCTTGTTGCCCAGGCTAGAGTGCAATGGCGCAATCTCGGCTCACCGCAACCTCTGCCTCCCGGGTTCAAGCAATTCTTCTGCCTCAGCCTTCTGAGTAGCTGAGATTACAGGTGCACACCACCACGCCCGGCTAATTTCATATTTTGAATAGAGGTGAGGTTTCTCCATGTTGGTCAGGCTAGTCTTGAACTCCTGACCACAGGTGATCTGCCCGCCTCAGCCTCCCAAAGTGCTGGGATTATAGGCTTGAGTCACTGTGCCCAGCAATTCTTTTTTCTTAAGTATTTTTTAAAACAGGATGCACACTCACATCCAGTAACATGCAGTTTAAAATGATTTGACAAATTCCTGTGATTTACATTTCAGTATTTAATCAACTGCAAAAGTTAGGAAATAATTCATGGGCCTGTAGTGCTTTTGAAAATAATATTTATGACTCATAAAAATGTACATTCATAGTAGTATGACATGAACATATTTTAAGAAAGTTCAAGCATATACAAGCATTGTTTAATCTCACAAAATATATTAATTTTGGTGGGAATATTTGCATTATAAAAGGGTCTTCAGTTTACCAAAGGGTTCAACACTAAGCTATTTTAAAAGTTGTGATTATTTTTTCCAATCTAAAGAGGGGTTAAGGCCAGGTGCAGTGGCTCACGCCTGTAATCCCAGCACTTTGGGAGGCTGAGGCGGGAGGATCACCTGAGGTCAGGAGTTCAAGACCAGCCTGGCCAACACAGTGAAACTCTGTCTCTGCTAAAAATACAAAAAAATTAGCCAGGCATAGCGGTGTGCACCTGTAATCCCAGCTACTCGGGAGGCTGAGGCAGGAGAATCGCTTGAACCCAGGAGGCGGAGGCTGCAGTGAGCCGAGATCGCGCCATGGCACTCCAGCCTGGGCAACAGAGCGAGACTCCATCTCGAAAATAAAATAAATAAAATAAAAGAGGGGTTAAGACTCATGCCGTCCTCACACACGGCCCTGCACAAGCCTATGGAGGATAGGAGACACGACCTTCTAAGAGGGGCGTTCTCAGAGAAGATGCTGGGCAGGCAACCAACAAGTGTGCCTCAAAGCACACTTCAGAACAACATCCAAATATACAATGAATATGAAGGCCACTCCTCATCTGCACACACCTGTTACACCTGTTTTTTTTCCTTACTCATTTACACTGGAACACATGTTATAATAGTGAACAGTTGGTTACGAATCTTTCAAAGAACTTGGAAGGGCCCCTATAATTATTTTCTGAAACAATGGAATTCTCTTATGGAAAAATCTTCCAGTGAAGGAAAGGGTAAGTTAAAAAAAACTTGAATTAACTTAGGTTAGAATACTTGCCAAGGCAAAAGTAAGTTGCTTTTCTCCATGTTTCCAGGCTATGAGAAAGCGGTGGCTGGCTACATGCTTTACTTTTCAGCCAAAAAATACGCACTGCCATTCCTGAGAAGACGGCAGGCAGCACAGCTGGGCTCCAGCCTTAAAGAGTCCAGCATTCTCCTTCCTTCCAGTCCTACCTCTTTAATTCTCAGACTTCCAGCTGGCTGGATGTATACATAAATGACCTGCATGGCTAAGTAAAACATCCCAGCTTATATTTTCAAGGTTTTCAAAGAGTTGTTGCTTTTGGACAAATTAATAAATGCAAATTAGAACTTAAAATGCAGTTCTAATTTTATTTCTATTTTTGGTTGTTAAAATCAAAACAAAACCTACACACACACAGTCCCAGGGTTTTCTCAAACAATCAACAGTTCTTTGGCAATGTTAAGAGTGTGTAACAAGACTGCCGTGCTAATTAGCATAATTTATAAGACGTCTAATAGTGTCGAAACAGGAAAATAACTATAAACTTGTTCGTTTGAAAGACACTATATAATGTCACACTAAGTCTTTTTAAAAACTCAATTTAGTAAGTAGAAAATATAAACGAACAAATTTAATTTTTCCAGATAATGAAGTCATACGGCATTTTTCCCAGTTACGCAAAGACAATTATCACATGAAAAATGTATAGAATGTAAGCAGTAAGAGAGCATTATGCAAAAATATCCTAAGGTAATTTCAGTATAAATTATGGGACGAGATTTATTAATAACATACGTTATGAGATCAATTGCAGTCTCACTGTGAAGGCAAAAACAAAAACCAAAACCCAAAGGATAAACAGAAATAGCACAGTCTACCGAATACACTGAATGGTGTTTACCTTTCCCCCCTCTTTAACTTGTATGCACCGCCTGCCATTCTAGATATTACCAATCACACTAAATAATATCAATAATAAAAACCAACCACCTTCAATCTGATCATTCTAGTCAGAAAACTGAATACAGTTTTGACCAGATCTTCGAGAAAGATTCATATACACCAAATTAACTAGTTCTGTTAAAAGGCTGCTATAAAAATACCATCATTACGAGCTATACAGAACTTCAGAACCCAGCTAAGAGTGGAGAAATACTGAATTTCTTAATTTATCTGGAGGGGACGACTGTAAACCCAAAGGTAGAAGAGCATTTCAGCATTCTGGCGTGTTCAGAGTTTCTAGGGTATAGTATCTCTCTGACACACAGAGAGCATTTCGAAGGGTGGCTATGGCCAGGAAACCTCAGAGCGGGTTCTGCCGTCACACTTGATCCCGAAGGCGGGCCAGTCTCTGAGACAGTTCATCCTGCTCCGCCGAAGCCACGCTCGTGCCCACGGAGCCGGTCTGCCCCTGCGGCAGCTCCATGTTGAGGTCGAGGCCCGCCTCGTCTGCCATTTCCTGGAGCAGCATATCCACTTGGTTCTGGGGAGTGGTGAGCGTCGTCGTGCTGCTCATCGTGTCCTCCATTTGCTGCGTCTGGACGTCCAGAGTTTCAAACTGGTGCTCGAATTTGTCCATCAAGGCAGAAATCTTCTCCAGATTCATGGTCTTCAGTGTCGCATCCATTGACTTAACCACACCAGCCATCGACTTGGTCACCTTGCCCATCGTCACCGCCGTCTGGACCCTGGCAGCCACTGCATCGACTCGCGCACTCATTCTTAAGAAATTCACCGCCTGGTTCTTCTGGCGGATGGCATTTTCGGCGTGGATCCTCGCAACTTCCATGTTGCCCTTCTGAATGGCCTTTTTGATTTTGGCCTTTTCGGCCTTTTCCTCCTTATCGCATTTTTTGGCACTCCTGCTCAGTTCTTTGGCCGCGAACTTCAGGTTGAACAGGTGTTTCTCCATGTTGGACATAGTCGGACGGCTCCTTGGGGTCGGCGGCCCGGCTGGGACGTGCGCGGAAGAGACAGAAGGTGAGGTAACTCCGCTCCCGGCCGCCGCTCCTTTGTTTTGGTCCCACTTCCTGTTTCTACCGTGCGCGGCGCAGGTGGTGACGTCAGAGCCCAGCGCCAAAGGCGTGGCCTGCGGGACGGACGGCGCCGGGGGTGGGGCCTGCGGGACGGACGGCGCCGGGGGCCGCGCACGCAGGGGGATTCCGGCCGGACGCTCCGGCGCTGCGTTCTACCGGGTTTTTAAAGTTCTTAACGTTATTAGTAAATTCACAAAAATTAGTGCCCCCACGCACTTTCTTAGTAATCTACCGAAGCAGACAATCTGTGGAGATCCGCGTGTAAAATTACCCAAGCTCCAAACTTGGCAGGCTTTATAAAGGGTGACTGGCTAGCTGGCTAAAACCCAGCCGAACATCAGCTAGGTCTTCACACGAACGCTTGCTTTATTAGCATGGGTAATTTCCACTTTCTCAGGGGAACTGGAAACCACGGATACATTAAAAACAAAAACATTAAAACAATACATTAAAAACAAACGGGTCACTGACGCGTCTCCATCTTTGACTACGATTTGTGCCGGAGTTCTGTAATACCCTTTTATTGCATGGGTGAAAATAACCTTTAAAACTGTGGCACCACCAAATTTATACTTTGGCTGGAAGTTCAGCTTCTAGGTGAGTTGCCAGCAATTATCATCCAAAAATCGTCCCGTGGCTTAGTAATAAAAAGACCCATCTTTTGCTGACACCATTCTATCTTTTTGATGTTTTATAAATATCCATGGAACTTCACTCACATTTAAGTTTGACAGGCTAAACTGTCATTTTAAATTATGCAGGCAGAGTATGGTGAGATATTAGGACCCACACCCACGGGCATACATCAGAACTGTCACTATGTATTACGCCCTTTAAAAATGCAGGCTTTCAAATGGCAGCAATGTGTGCTGTCACTTTTTAGAAAGCTTCCTCCGATGCAGCAATAATAATGCAAGAAGACCGGATCTGCCCTAATGAGCTAGGCTGAAAATGAACCCTGAGAGCGAATTCTGTTTGGAGATCATTTTAATCCAGCGGCCCACCACCTCGCTTAGCTTTCTGTGATAGCTTGCCAGTCAGTTTCACACCACAAGACCTTCTGAAGACATAGCTCTGATGTTTTCACTTTCTCCAAACCCTGGGCGTGGAGGCTAAACCTGCTGTGCAGCACGCTGCCTCCCTTGCCTTTTGCGCCCCTCTGCCAGTCAAAGCAAACCGCAGCACGGAAGTTGAGCATTATTTGTGTCATTTGGCCAGTGGAGAGAATGTGACTGACGCCCCGTCCTTTGGCTATGCTGTTCCTGTTGCCTGGATTTACTGTCCATGCATCTCTGCCTATTGACACCCTGCCAGTCCTTCAAAAGCCACCTTCACCATGGAGCCTCCCCAGGACTCCTCCTCTGTGTGGCCATACTACAGGGCACATTGCCTGGCAAGGGGTCTGTGCGTATAGGTCACCTGTTACAGTAGGAACTACTTGCATGCAGACAACACTGATTCCTTCCTCTTTCCATGGAGCCCAGCAGGTGCTCTGCACACAGCAGCCACTGAATCCAGAAGGTGTTGCTAAATTTAATTTTATTTCAGAGGGGATAGGATGTTACCCTAGTTAGCAGCTTAGCTATGGTTTCTTTTTGCCACTCAAAGCCGTAGAACCCTTTTTCCAAATGAAACTTTTCTAGAAATGGAATATACTCAACCAAAAAAAAGAAAAAAACCCGGGGGCTTAGGCCCCCTACTCTGCTCACCCTCCATTCCACTCTTCCCTTCTTTTAGGTCCTGGTTTTTCTTGGAGTTTGCAAACAAGTTTCTTGTCTAGCTTCCATGTCATGCTCCATAGTTTTCTTTTTTCTTTTCTTTTTTTTTTTTTTTGAGATGAAATCTTGCTCTGTCACTCAGGCTGAAGTGCAGTGGCATGATCTTGGCCCACTGCAGCCTCTGCCTTCTGGGTTCAAGCGATTCTCCTGCCTCAGCCTCCCAAGTAGCTGGGATTACAGGTACATGCCAGCACTACTGGCTAATTTTTATATTTTTAGTACAGCTGGGGTTTCACCATGTTGGCCAGGCTGGCCTCGAACTCCTGACCTCAGGTGATCTGCCCACCTTGGCCTTGCAAAGTGCTGGGATTACAGGCGTGAGCTACTGTGCCCGGCCCATAGTTTTCTTAATGACAAATTCTGACTAGGTGAGATGGTTTGGAATATAATCATGAGAGACTCAGATGATGATGATAATGACAATTAACATTAATAAAGTATGCACCAGACATTGTTCTGGGCACTTTACATAAATAAACTCATTTCAGCTTCGCAAACCCTATGAAGTAGATACTATAAATGTCTTCAGTTCACAGGTAATGAAAGGGAAGCACAGAGAGCTAAGAAACTTGCCTGAACTCACACATTAGGTAAGTGTTAGAAACTGGATTCCATGGATATATTTGGACCAGTAATAAGGCACTGGGGAATCCAATAAACATGAGTTAATAAGAATAAAATAATGATCATCATGTAGCCTAAAGAAAGAAGTTGATTTCCAGCTGTGTTTTTGAGAAGACAGAGTTGCACTGACTACACAGTTAATATGAACTTTATAAACTGTGGTTGCTGACTGGGCATGGTGGCCCAAGAATGTAATCCCAGCACTTTGGGAGGCTGAGGTGGGTGGACTGCTTGAGACCAGGGGTTCAAGACCAGCCTGGCCAACATGAGGAAAGCCCGTCTCTATTAAAAATACAAAAATTAGCTGGGTGTGGTGGCGCATGCCTGTAACCCCAGCCACTTGGGAGGCTGAGGCAGGAGAATCGCTTGAACCGGAAAGATGGAGGTCGCAGTGAGCTGAGATTGTGCCAGTGCACTCCAGCCTGGGTGACAGACAGAGACTCCCTCTCAAAAAAAAAAAAAAAAAAAAAGTATGGTTGCTAAAATAAGTTGCCATCACCTGATCACCTGAAGCTACATTGCTTGAATGGTGACGCCTCAACTTTCTGCGCTGGAGAGAAGGGATAGGTGGAGTTCCAGAAGCCATCTTCCCAGGGAGACCAGGGCGGACTAGAATTCTGAAGAGAAGGCTATTCTCCTCTCCCTGACGGTTCCCCAGCCCTGCCCTCCTCTTTCTCTTATCAACACCCCAGCCATTTCCATGGTGTTCAATAGGATCCATAGCTAGCTGCTCTCATGCTCACATTTCCAGAGAGAGATTTGCTTCTGAGCTCCAAACCCATATGCCTGGCTGTCTCCTTGGTGCTGGGGGATTTGTGGTCCAAGACTGTTTGGCAACTCTCTAAAGTGACTGAACTCAGTCCTTTCCCCCAAATCTGCTCATTCCCATTTACTACTGGCACCTCCATCTACCCTGTCATTCGAGTTGGATTCGGAAGAATTATCTCTGACCACCGTGGTATCTATATCTGCATCTACCCTGGCTCTAAGTTTTTTCCATTCTTTATATTCCATTGAGGTTGACAACCTTCAGACTCTGTTTCAGCTTGGTGTGCTTTCTCTTTTTGTGTATCTAGCAAAAGGAAGATTATTTTGGTATTATTATTAAAGGAGGTTTTGGTCCTACCACCATGCTGATTGTACCTGAAGACGTTCTGGACCCAATGCAGATGTGAAAACAGAACGTACAGTTTATAATGACCGGAATTGTTATGTAACTACCACATTAACATTGAAACCTTACAAGTCCCAAAGCCAAATTTTCTCTTAGTGAAAAAAAAGAAATTTTTGATTAAAGTGCAGACATTTCTAGAAAGCTGCGAGTCAAACCAGTTAATTATTTTTATCATGAAACGGGGAAGAAAAATATGCCATCATTTGGCACATCTGGCTGATTTCTTTTCTTTCCTTACTTTGAAATAATACAAGTGGTTAAAATGAAAATATTTAAGCAGGACATTCAGTTTTACTTCACTGGAAAAGAATCATTTGCTAAGTCTGAAGTCACTCAAAAAATAAAAAAAGAGAAAATAAAAGATATGAAAAATAACTTTCTCATGTGTTAAACTATTTCTGGATTCTCATCGGTATGTTTCTGGTGATTTTGAAATGTTAGACCTCAAACTAAGGGCTCCTCTTCACTTACCAAAATTTGCATTTTTTGCATACATTTGTATTTGCCTAGCAGCAGGTTTTCCTATTAGATAGATGTGACATGGTGACCTTTGGTTGACTACCTATACCTGGTACTATTCAACCTCTGGAAAACAAGATATACCGAATAAATTTCTGTTGAATGTAGGAATATATGAATGCAGCCAAAGGAAATCGCATTGGATACATATTCACTTGGTGATCATTTTGAGGAATACATTACATATATGTGTATATATATAAATATATTACATACATATATAATATTAATTACACATATTATGTATTAAACGTATGCATACATATTTTCCTCTACATCATCTTTTTATTTAGGAACACAGCTAGAATTAAAAACGCTGAGACTCCTCAAGCCTTGGGAAATTGCCAAGTCACTGTCCAGGGCTGGGTGTGATGGCTGACGCCTGTAATCACAACACTTTGAGAGGATGAGGTGGCCCAGGAGTTTGAGGCTGCGGTGAACTACGATCATGCCACTGCACTCCATTTGGGGTGACAGAGCAACATCCTGTCTCAAAAACAACAACAAAACCAAAGTCACTGTCTTTCAAAATATGTTAACAACAGCCTGGGCAAGATGTCTAGAACCCGTCTCTACAAAAAATAAAAAATAAAATTTAGCTGGGCATGGTAGTATGTGCCTGTAGTTCCAGCTACTTGGGATGCTGAGGTGGGAGGATCTCTGTGTCCAGGAGTTCGAGGCTACAATGAGCTATAATCATGCCACCGTACTCCAGCCTGGCTGACAGAGCGAGACCCTGTCTCTCTCTCTCTCTCACCACATACATATATATATATATATATATATGTTAAAATGATGTCAAGATTTAAAAATAAAAATAAGAAAGAGAAGGAAATAGAAAAGCAGCACGTAAACATAATTCCACATTCCTCCATCTGCAGTTTATTTATTTATTTATTT